TCAGGTCTATCTGAGCAGGGGGAGCAAGGGGCGGGTAAGTACTTCCACCTTCTGTGTGCTCTGGGTTTCTTAAAAAACCGAACTGCAGTGAACCCGGGTTCAGCAGTTGTCACAGATGTACCCCTCTGGTGGGGGACACAGAGACTGGGGGAGGCTCTACACGCGTGGGGGCAGGGCTTAGTGGGAAGTCTCTGTACTTGCCGGGACGCTAAAGCTACTCTAAACAACAAAGTTTTTCTTTTTTAAATGCAAAACATTGACCTGGAAATTAAGTTGTAATTTTAGTATTTGAGGAGAAACTTGATTTTAAAGGAATAATTAACAGGTTTATGTAACTCTTTATTTAACCTGCTTATATAATACATGTAACACCTTGAAGGTATATGGCATCTGTTTACAAGTTATTGTGAAAGAATATGAAAATTGCCAGCTTGTGAAGAACAAGTACAAAAAACTTTCAGTGCAAATTATCTTAAAGGAAACCTTATGAAAAGAATATTTATTACTGAAGATGTTGCCAAATTAAATTTGACGTGTTCCCCACTGACCAGTCATAGCTTTAAATGTAATAAACAAGAGCTCTCTGATTAATCCATTTGATGTTTCTAGTTTAAAAGTCGAGTACTTTAAATATTTTCAAAAGTTTTTTCCTGTTGGAGTTGTGATTTTTTATCATTCAAAGTTGAAGCCCAAGGCAGTTTACTGCCTACCCCTATGTGAATGATTGCCAGGTGACAAGTTAATCAGAGAGAGCACTGAAAAATTCCAGAAAAAGTTTTTTCAATGTTTATTTATTTTTTTTAGAGAGAGGGGAAGGAGGGGAGAAAGAGAGGGAGGGAAACATCAGTGGGAGAGAGAAACATGGATCTGTTGCCTCTAACATGCACCCCTACTGGGGACGGGACCTGCAACCCAGGCATGTGCCCTGACCAGAATGGAACTGGAGACCTTTTGCTTGGCGGGACGCTGCCCAACCCAACTGAGCCACACAGGTCAGGGCTGCAGAAAATTTTGACTGGCTGCAATGTTCAGCATCTTGTGCTAGGATGGAGTGGGCTGAGGGTAGAAGGGGTGAAATGCAGAGTGAAGATGAGCTGGTCGCCACCTTCAAGGAGCACCCAATGTGACTGGATTCTGGGACTGGGTATAGGACTAGGTACAGTAAGTTTGAAAACAGCCTTCCTTGTGTCTGCCAGTGTTAACAGTACCGTATTGAAGGGCTTAGATATTTCGTTAAAAGTAATGAATGGAGTCATGCGTGGTTTTATGACTTCCGAAAATAATACAGTAATTAACAAATAACAATACAAGAATAAGCTGCATTTTGTGTACAACTTTAAAGCTACCTTTGCCCCAGCCCGTATAAGACTGCTCAAGTTTGTAGAAAAGCATTTGACTTCTTTGTTATCATACTGGAGGTTAAATGAAAATAGCTCATTTTCTGAAGCTAGTTACATTTATAGTAATGTGTATCATCTGGTAGTTTAACGAATTATGCTAAGATTTGAAAAATAGGTACATACATTTGTGATAATAAAAATATTAATTTATTTACTATTTCTCAGTAATTGTTTTTTTTTCTTTTTTCTTATTGTTCAAGTACAGTTGTCCCCATTTCCCCCCATCACCACTCCCCCTACCCCAGCCATCCCCACCTCCCTTCCCCGATCCCACCCCCCTTGGTTTAGTCCATGTGTCCTTTATAGTTGTCCCTGAAAACCCTTCCCCCTTTTCCCCCCATTATCCCCTCCCACCTCCCCTCTGGCTACTGTCAGTTTGTTCTTAGTTTTAATATCTTTGGTTATATTTCTCAGTAACTGTTTTTATGACTCTCTGTGCAAACTTTGGGGTTTGTATTTTTTTACTTAGCTTGAATATGTACTATGTATTTGAAATGGTTAAGCTTCAAACTTTGCTTCCATAATATAAACTGTATTGTAAAATCAGGCGGAAAAGAAACTAGTAATTATGTCCTTTGTGACAGGTACAGGGGTACGTAATTTATAGATTTCGTCCTGGTTTGTTTGGTCTCTAACCCTTCTGATCTACAAAATCCTAGCAGCATTTTAAGTATCCCGTGGTAACTATTGAAACAAAACTCTTCTTATCACACTTTAAATGTCCTAATTGATTTCCATGTCTGTGGCTTGGTTCGGAAATGAGGGGATTTCGTGTCCTTCCCCTGGCTAAGTTCCTGAATTAATCATTTATTTTCTGCTTACATAGTTGTTGATGTGAAATTCCTTTTCAAGTTCTGCTTTTCTTACCATATTTATTCTTTGGGGACAGGGGAGGGAGTGGGGTGAGGAGGCAATGTATGGCTATTTTATTGCCTGGCAACCTAGAAGTATAAGGATAAGGTAAGGTCCTTAAAGAGGACCTCAGACCAGAGATATTTCACTGGGAAAATTAAAGCAAAAACAGTAGCCACGTGGAACAATATTAATGCTTGTGTTTACAATTTTTGTTCAGCATTTGGTCTTTTGTATAACACGGCCCCTTTCTAGAATGTAAGCATCATAGGAGGAAATCTCTTGTCTATTTTGTTCTCTGACACCCTATAATAAGCACCTGGCCCAGTACAGATGCCCAGCAGTGGTTTGTTGGTTAGTTGAACCAGCATGTGAGTGAATGAATGAATGAATGAATGAATGAATGAATGAATAACACATTTCACTGGCAGTTTCTGGTTTTGTGGTTTTTTTTGTTGTTGTTTTCTGTATTTTATTTACTGAATTTTTTGTTTGATACTCTGTTAAAAAGGGAGGGAAAAGCTGATACTAAAATGCATAGTTTCTAAATGATTCTTAATTCTTGCTGTTTAAAATGCTATCATGGAAACTTTCTTTCCCTGTAGAAATTTGTCTCAAAGTATGCAGTTATCTGTCTATTGTGGGCAAGGTGAAAGCATTTCTATCTCTACAGGAGAGTGACACCCAGATGTCTTGGCTGCTCGTGGTTCAACTTATACATTTGAAAAATACTTTCACGGCTTTTTTCATTTCGTGTGATATACATTTTAGGGAAGTTTTGCCCAGATGTATTTGAAGAGTATATGAGACAAGCTTTGTTTTCCTCTTATAGGTTCGTATTGTGTTTCAGGATAGTTTGGGGTTACTAATAGGTTTATATAACTTAGCTTAAGGTAGATTAAACAGTTTTAAAGAGAGTTTAAAATGTGTTAGTTTTTTAAACAATGCTTTTCCTCAAAAGAAGCATTATGAGGAAGAGAATAGCTTACATGCAAGTAAGAATTCTCCATTTTAATAATAAATGCAAAATTTTAATAGTAATTCTACTGGAACAGTGGTTCTCAAATTTTTGGTTTCAGGGACCCTTTACACTCTCAAAAATTATTGAGCTTTGTTTATGTAAGTTACGTGTATCTGTATTTACTGTGTTAGAAATTGAAATGGATAGAATTTTTAAACATTTTTAAAAATAGAAATAGACTATCACATGTCAGCCTAAATAACATTTTTATTTTAAAGTGTATTTCCAAAACAAGTTTTAGTGAGAAAAATGGTATTGTTCTTTGCTAAGCCAGACATCTCTCTGATGTCTGGCTTAGTAGAAAACTGGGTTCTTACATCTGCTTTTGCTTAATATGTTTTAATACAGCATGTTAATGTGTTCTCTGGAAAACTCCACCGTATACTAGTGAGGGAATGTGAGCGAGAAAGGCAGGCATTATCCTGGTGTTACACGGATGGAGCTTCCATCCAGAGGCCCCTGAGAGGGCCTTGGGTCACCTTCGGGGAACCACTGCTCCAGAGCTGGCGGACAGCAGGGTAGATAGCAGTGGGGTGGGGCCCTGCTTGTTCTCTTATATTATTTCTATGTTGTATTTGAATGTTTTATAATGAGCAAAATCCTTTTGTCATTTCTTAAATTGTTTATTGGTTTTTAGAGAGAGAGAAGGGGAAGGGGAGAGAGAGGAAGAAAACATCAATGTGACAAATATCGCTTAGTTGTCCTGGCCGGGCATCAAACCCAATTACTGTGTGGTATTTCCTAATAAGTTTGTACCATTCTTATTAGATATTAAAATATCTATATATTAGATATTTTCTGCTACAATAAATAATGCTTTAGTAAACCTGTCTGTTCTTACATATTTGCATAAGTATCTATTTCCTTAGGGTGACAACTTAGCTGTGGAATTCCTGGGTTTATGAGGCATCTACTGGTTTCCCAAAATCTTTTTAATAAAATTGTAAAATTCCTTTTCAGATAGACCATACCCAATTTATACTTCCTTTCTCCCAACCCTAATCCATTCTTGACTCTAATGGTTTAAAAAATCATTATTATTTTGCTTTCCAGTACTTTGAATACATGAGGTTGAGGCGAACGTCTTTCCAGATGCTCTGTGTGAGTTCCCTGTTCATGTGCTTTGCCTTTTTTCTGTTGGAATGTTGTCTTACTGATCAGTGAATATCCAGATCAGTGAAGACTCCGTCTCGTCTTTGTAAAGGACATCTTCTGTTCATTGCACTTGAGGAAATGTTTTCTTCTCTGTGCATTTAAGAATTTTTCTAAGATACTATAATTATCATGTTATAATAATTAATTATCTCACAAGGATTATAAGAAACTCTAGAAGCTAAGTGGTATTAAGGCTCTGGGCTTTTTGATTAGAATTTTCTTTCTGTATAGTGCCGTTGGAGAGGTGAGCAAATATTCTTATGTAAGGCTGTTTCTGCATAGTAGATTTACCATTCCCGTGAAGTTAGAACTTTAATTTGTGCGATCTCTGACTCCTTCTCTAAGACTGGCACCAGTATTGCAGGAGCAGTTCGGCAGCAAGGTGGTGAGAGGGGACAGCAAACCCAGTTCCGGCAGAGATTTTCCTGACTGCGGCAGCTGCCTGTGTCCTCAGGAGCCCTCCACCGTCTCTAGCACAACTCGCTGCTTTTACTGTGATCTGTGTGTCCTCACCCTGCGCCCATGCACGTGAGAAATGGCGGTCTAACCCAGGTTGTCTTTCCATTTATCAGAGTATACACATACTGGAGAGGACTGCTTCCTCCGGCACCGAGCCCTCTGTCAGTCGGCAGTTGCTAGAATCGGAGCCAGTGCCCCTCTCCAAGGTCAGTGATGGAATGTGGTGCTCTCTCGGATGGCATGAGGCCAGCCCTGGGCCGGTTGAACTGTAAATCACTCAACTCCTGCCTCCCCTGGGGTAGCTGAAGCGCCCCCTGTAAGGCTGCTCCTGCACTTCTTTCTGCCTGCAGCCTGTAGGGTTTCTCTACCTCCTGTACAGAGGGAAGACATCACAGTGTATTCGCTGAGATTTTCAGGGTTACATACAGAAGTCCAGCGTTCACTTTATGAAAGAAAAAGGGCAAAACAAACTATCGTCATTCCCTGTTGGAGAGATAAGGAAATATTTCTGTACCAAACTAATAGGAAAATAACTGAGTCCAGGAATAATAATAACAACAGCAACCCTGCTTGCCTGTGCACTGCATACCAGGCACTATCCTCAGTGCTGAAATGTGTGATCCCATTTAATGTAATCCTCTGGGCAGCCTTATGCAGTGTAGGTATTGATTACATTGTATAAATATGGAGGCTGAGAATTCGTAACTTGCTCAAAGTCAAATACAGGCTGCTAAGGAGCAGAGCAGGGATGTGGACTGAGACCTGTTGAAGCTGTGCCCCACCTGCCGGTGCAGCAGCAGCCACCCAGCGGGGCTGCTGCACACGCAGCGTTCCAGGCTCCCGACAGCCGGCCTTCCTTGCAGTGCGCCGACGAGAACACTGCAGATTACTAAGACTTTTTCCGTCTCGTGGAAGCCAGTGTTCCCACCCTATCGGACTTCTCTTCCTATGACTAGGCAAATATCTGAGTTCATTTTTGTCTAAAATGCAAAATCATAAAAGTCAAGGAGATGTCATCCTGCTCATTTCCACTCCTAACCTGACTACCTGAGATTTTCAGTGGGCTGACTGCCCTAGGGAGAAACTCAGAAAACAGAACGCCTGGAAATTTTGCAATCAAATATAAAAATAGCACTTTATTTACCAAAGAGTTTAACTTCCAAGGGTGTATAACTGATCCGTCCACTTTACTTGTCCTTTATTAAACAAATCTGTGAAGAAAAGAACTCTGCTACCCCGGTAGTACAGAATATGTGTCCCGTACCTTTTTATATTTTGAAGCTATTACAAGCTATTAGGTTTATTCTATCCGATAGGAATAGACTGCTCACCTAAGGAAAGGGGGAGTTATTAAATTATAAAAAATTTAAAAGAGATCTGATTTCTATTTGAACGGCAAATAAGGAATGTCTGTTTGGTAACTATAGCTAGTGAAACATCAGTTTTTTCTTGTCGGCAGCTAGAGGAAAGAGAAGAGAAGAAATAGATACAGGGGCAACACAGAGGGCCGCTAGCACTGGTTGGACACCCGCCTCGACGAGCCAGGCACTGGGTTAGTTCATATGTCCCTCAGTTGGGCAGCTTTCAACTCGATGGAGTGAGTACCAGTAATAGCCTCATTTTATTAATTAATAAGGAGACAGAGTAGTTGTCCATCGTCAGGTAGCTGGGACTTGTGTGACAGAGCAGGGGGGAAGGGACCATGATAGCGAGAGAAAGAAGGCTCGGAGAATGAGGAGCAGGAACAGAAAGGGGAGGTGCTGGTAGTAAAACCAGAAATAGGGAGCAGTACGCACACGAGATTTGCTCTAGCCCCGTCCCTCCCACCAGCTGCCTCTCCAGCCCCTTTGGAATCTCACTTGGTAGCCCAGCTACATCCACCGGCACACAGTTCCCTGCAGTGGCCACCCGCCTTCCTCCGCAGCTGGGTGTCTGCTCCCTGCTCCCTGCTCCCTGCTCCCCTCCCCTCCCCTTCCCTGACCCAGCAAAGCCAACAACTCTTCTTTCAAGTTAGGCTCACAGGAACCCTTTTTCAAATGCTGATCCCCTCCCTACCCAATGCACCCTCAGCCCCAGAGCACCTCATGTAGCCTGTGCTGTCGTTAACACGTTAACTTATTTGTTTCACATTCTTTCTCATGTCGGGTTCTCTAGAAGGACATCCGGACACCGAAGGTGCTTTGCCCAGGGGCACGGAGCGAGGGGCTGGGCAGGTGTGTGCCAAGCAAGGGCTTCCAGCTGGAGTCCAGGGGCAGCCTGCTCCTGGGGAGCTTGGAGGCACGAATTGTACCACAGAGTTGGTCTCACCCTGAGGCAAGGAGGACTTTTTGTTCCCTTAGCCCTTCATACCCTTGTGTTCTTCAGTCACTGAGAGCCATCAGGGGGAGGCTGCAGCATAATTTCCCAGGCAGGGGGCCCCAGCTTGGAGAAGACACAGTTGCCCATTAGCCTTAGCAGTTCCCAGTGCTCACAGTTGCTGGGGTCTGGGGCCTCTGGCCTGACCCAGGATCTGGGTAGGGCACCAATAACATCCACTTCCATTACTCCTCTGTGCTGTGGTCCGCGTGGATCTTGCTGTAGGACTAATACTCCTTGTGTTTTTGTGTTAATAGATATCACATTTTGGGGGGTCCCCATGCAATCAGAGGGCCCCATCTAATCCAGATACCATAATATCTCACCACCTCTTGGCTCTTTGAGAGAAGTTGGGTGTCCTGGGCACTGGTTGATGGTTGATAGTTGATGGTTGTTAGAAATGCACGTTGGCCTGTCTCAGGATTTGTGCAGATGCTTCGGAACTTTCACTGCCTAAAGCGCTTTCCCACACACCCACCCACCCACACATGCACGCACAAAGACTATACCCTCGAGAAAGGAGAAGTCTCTAGGTTTTTTTTTTCCATACGAACGGACTAGGGTTGTTATTAGGTTACTTCCTGTGTTTAGTTATTATTATTATTAGATCAAAGTGGTACTGAGACCTCTATATATCTGACTAGAGTCAAGTACAGGCATGATCACATTAGGCTTTTGGCTCTTTCTATTATAAGTAAACCAATGAAAATGGAAGAGTTTTAAGCAGAAAATTACTATCAATTGAAATCATGAAAAAATTTCTTCAATCTTCAGAGAGTAATTTTAGCTTTCTTAAGATAGACCTGGTCTGTCTTACAGACAGGGTGTGCAAAATACTGAGCTGCGAAGCTTCATTTCTTACAGACGGACCGTGTTCGTATCGTTACCATTGGCATTTATAGTTCAAATAGGGAGAATGTCGTTTGCTCTGGCTTTATCCTTGCCTCTTTGTCAGTTAGACAGCTTCCTAAACTGCGGGAACTACACGAGGATTCTTCTCCATTTCTTTCGCTGTGTTTAGTAATTCTGCATCAGAGCAAATGGAATTACTCATTCAGAGCTGTATCCCTTACAATTAAATACAATTTTACTTTTCGCCTCTTCTGTCTGATCCCTCGTTTCCTCTTCAGTTAAACTCTAAGAGCAGGGAAAAAATGACAAGCTGTTATTTCAGTCTGAGCTTAATTAGAAAAATGTCAAAACACATTTGTACTTATTAAATGTTCACAAGAAATTCAGAATATTCATCATATACGCACACAGAGAAAAAAATCAAAGATGAACACTAGCCTTAAAATAAGGTAAGATCCAGCCAGTAATAAAAATGCTATTCTTTTAGAGATGCTGTCCCTAGCTGGGACTACCAAACACAGAACTGCCGTTAAGTACAGCTGATATCTAACAACAGAGGGGGCTCTAATGAATATATTTACACATTTATGGAGAATTAGTCTTTTAGTTTCTCGATTATATCAAACTTTTAAAAAGAAGTCCATCATCTTTATGGAATCAAAATCCATCATTTTTATTTACCTTTTTAGTGAGAATAGAAGGCCAAAGGTGCTGTACTTTGTATAAAACCTGTTTTCCTCTATTGTTTTAATATCACCCATAAATGTATCCACTTGTTGGATTGCAGCTCACTAGTAACACATGAGACTGCTAAAGCACTCCCCATTGTGTTCTAGACGATCGTGAGACCTGCACGAGTGTTGTCCAAAAACCTGGTCTACAGCCTGAAATTGTATCATTAGAAACAATTTTAATTACTTTATCTAATTAACAGCTTTGAACAGATCTATTGCAATTTCTGACAACATTATCAAGTAGAAAATCACTTTTGGTGGGTTGTTTTTCTAAGTAAGGGGAAATTTACAGACCTTTCTTCTCTTTGTTTAAAAGAACAGTTTTAGTGATACATAATTTTACAGCTCTCTAAAGGGTTCTTAATGTTGCCAAATAAAAACTGGTAGGTGGGTTTCTGTGAGGTATGTAGTTCATTCTCTCCATACCCCTCAGATGACAAAGAAGATGAAAAAGTGACCTTGGTCTCGGGTTAATTTCATGGGGACAGGGGTGCGTGTGTGTCGCAGGGCTGGGCTCAGGTAGAAGTGCGGGGCCGGCTTCAGCAGCTTCTCAGAAGCCAGGAGTGTCTCGTAGCCTTCATCAAGCAGTGTTCAGCCACATCTTCTGGAAACAATTTTCTGTGAAAATTCTTCCCCATTTACACATATTAGAACTTGAACATACATAGATTTAATGTGGCCACAGAACAGGCAGTTTCTGGGATGAAAAGAGAACAAAGAGAAAGGAGCCATGGGTGGCAAATGCGCAGCCAACATCGGGGACCGATTGTGGCTCCTTTGCCCAGATTGTGGCTCCTTTGCCCCGGGGCCTCGTCAGAGCCTCACAGCCTGTCAGCGGGTCTGGGCAGCCACCACCCATGCATTTGGGCCAGCATGGCCCCCTGCCCTGGATTGGAACCCACTGGCCTTTCCTGTTGAAGCATCTGTTCTGTGATCGACCGATGATTTCTGATAGAACGTGTGTTTTCAAAGGCAGCTTCCTGGGTCGGTTTGGGATGGGGCATTGTGCCGAGGGGCCCGACCCCAGAGATGTCACAGCTGCATCCACTTTATGAAGCCGAGGCAGCAGATTGGATTACAGTCTTTACTTCCTACACTGTGGGCAGGACTGTAGCAGTTCTGCCTGGGATGTGAAAAACAACCTGAAAAGTGATTTTTATACATGGTCTCTAAATTATTCTGCATTTGGATTTATTGATGGTAGTCATTGTGACAGGTGTGAGGTGACAACTCATTGTTGGTGAGGGTGTAGAGAAAAGGGAACCCTCTTGCGCTCTTGGTGGAAATGCAGACTGGTGCAGCCACTGTGGAAGAGAGTATGGAATTTCCTCAAATAATTAAAAATAGAATTGCCTCATGATCCAGCAGTGCCACTCTGGGTATATATCTGAAGAAACCCAAAACACTAATTCCCCTATGCCATTGCAGTGTTATTCACAATAGCCAAAGTTAGAAAGTGACCCAAGGGCCCGTCAGTAGACAAGTGGATAAAAAAATGGTGATACAAATGTGCAATGGAATGTTACTTGGCCATAAAAAAGAATGAAATCTTACCATTTGTGACATTATGGATGGACCTAGAAGGTATTATGATAGGTGAAATAAGTCAGACAGAGAAAGACTAATTCCATATGATTTCACTTATATGGGGAATCTAAAGAACAAAATAAATGAATAAACAAAACTGAAACAGAGTCATAGACACAGAGAACAGACTGATGGTTGCCAGAGGGGAGCGGGTTTGGTGGACCGAGTGAGAAAGGTGAAGAGATTAAGAAGCACAGATTGTTATGTGCAACCCATGAACACAGTCGACAATGTGGGAATTGACTTGCACTTGACTTGGGGTCAGGGAGCGGGTGGGTCTGGGGAGAGGTGGGGAAAGGGGAAAAAAGTGAGAACAACTGTAACAGCCTAAACAATAAATTTTTTTAAAAAAAAGAAGTACAAATTGGTAGTTTCAAAGTAGTTATAGGGATATAAAGTACAGTGTAGAGAATACGGTCAAGAATTTGCAGTAACTATGTGTGGGCACTGGCCCACCTGGCACCACACATCATGGGAACACTCTGTAAGGTACGTGGTTGTCTAACCACTATGCTGCACACCTGAAACTCATACGAAATAATATCGAATGTAAAAAAATCATTTTGAAATATGCTGCACATGATTACGTTAATCCCACAACTTTTCCTCAAATTAAATTTTTATGAAGATTATCAACTATAAAGGACTGTTTTATTTACAAAAAATACACAAAGTTACAGCATGATTGCTGGACAAAAACAACTCCACGTGCCGGAGGTCTAGAGCACGAGTGCCAGCCCACCGGGGACTTTGGAACTGGGCCCCTGGAAACGACCTGGCCCAGAGGTGGGGAGACCCAGGGTGGAGCCGAGGGCCTGGCAGCTACCACGGGCGCCCTTCTCTCGGGGCGTGTGCAGTGCCACCAGAGCTCACGGGCTTTCCCCAAACACTGGAAACCTGGACTTGCAAAGCCTGAAAGCTTCCAATTTATAATGTTGACAACTCATTAAAAAATTGTAAACACCACAAACAAAATACATCTTATGGAAGAGGAAACCATGATTGCATCCATTTTTTAGTAGAGGAAGATGACAGTGTGAGCTCCATCATCCCAGATACCTGGCCTTGCCATCTGGTGCTTTTCCCACGGACTGCCATGGCAAAGGGAGGGGGTCTTGGGTGGAGTGTCTTCGAAAGCATAGACTTCTCGGTGTGTGTCTGGCCAGTAGGAGGTTTTATGTGCACTCTGAAATGCACACAGTCTCACTGCGGAGAAGCAGGTGCCCACAGAGCTCTTCTTCAATTTAATAGGTTATGAAGTGCTTAGACCACTGCGGCCTTTCCATTTCTACACAGAAAGCAAGGTCCACACACTAATTGAACAACTGCCATCAAAATAGTCTTGTTTCAAACTTTAAAGTGCCTCTGGGCCCACAGGTTAACTGTCTGGAAATATGCATTTTAAACTTTCTGAGAGCAGGCACTGGAAATTTCATCCTTCCCCCGCTTCCACCTCCATCTCATGTCTGATGGACTCGCAGACTTCCAGGTCGACCTGGAAGCTCTGTCTTCAGATTTAAGTGCTTAGCTGAGTCTGATGTCAGAATTTGCTTCAGAATGTTCTCTTCATACTCATACTGGTGGGTCCAGTGCTACTTCAAGTGCAACTTCTACTTGAGAATCTATTTTAAGTACATCATCAAGCACCAAAAAAGTGATTTGTTTTTTGTCCTTTTTTTGCAGGAAGCTGACAGTTGGGAAATTATAGAAGGGCTGAAAATAGGTCAAACCAATGTCCAGAGACCAGACAAACATGAAGGCTTTATGCTGAAGAAGAGAAAATGGCCTTTAAAAGGCTGGCACAAGGTAACGTTTCCTTCATACCCATCTTGACATCACCTGCGTAAATGGAGGGTCTCATTCGGTGTCGTTAGGTGGGAAGCCAAGGGTGTGGTTGTACGTGGGAAGCTGATTTTCAAGGCCTTATTTTAATTATTTAGGCTGCGCTCAACCTGTGATACCTGTTTAAGTCAGATCTATAATATCGGTATGCAGGGGGGGAAATTTATTTTTTAAATATTTTAAAGTAAATTGTTTTTATATTTAAAATCCAGTTTATATATACTGTTGTCTACTCTGCTGTTTTACTTGAGTTAATATGAATGTGTTCTTATTAAATATTCTTCTAAATAGGACATTTTAAAAAATTCATGCGTGTATTCCACTGGGTGGATTTTCTGAATGAATTACCCACCATTATGAACCCATTCCTGTTGCTGGATATGTAGGTTATGTCTGATTTATACTGTCATGGTGTTGTGATGGACATCCCTATACATGAATTTCTGCTAATTCATTGGGATAAATTTCTAGAATTACTGTTACCAGTGCAAACAAAAGGCAGAAATTCACTGATCTTGGAAGTTTGGTTGTTACTCTGTAAACTCTATGATCTATTCTTCTCTTCCCTATCCCACATGCTTTTTCCATCTTTCAGTTTTAGTTATGGAGAAAATATCTGGCACTTCTTGTTGCAGTGACCCAAGTAGCAAGAGGTCTGTGATGCTGAGGACGAAGCTGTCCTCCATTTCCAGTGTCAGCCCTTTGCCAGACCGCCAGCATCTGCTCTGAAATCGCCCAGAGAACGGGCTCATCGACTTGCCACATCTGCCGATGGATTCATCTCAGGGCAGGTGGCTCGATTGGCCCCAGTGGCTGAGTGGTGGCTGCCCATCGGCCCACAGTAGGGAGGTTACGGATTGTAACATCCTTGAGGAAATGTATTTTTTGCACTTTAAGGGAAAGACTTAAAAATTAACCAATGGGAATGTTGCCCAATTCTCTGTCTCTGAAGGTGGAATAAAAGCATGACAGAGGGGTTCCAACTCCTTTTCCTTCTCGTTTGCCAGAAACCTTGACGGTCCCCCCTGAACCCCCATCATTACCCCAACACCAGGAGCCTCTCTCCACCTTCACTCTTCCTTGGATTTTGGCCAGCTGGCCACACCTTCCTAGCAGCACTTTTTGCCTTTCGTTCTGGCCTTACCACTGTGCAATTCCTCGAGTCAATGGCCTTGCTAATCTCTTTCCTCATGACCATCCTGTAGGTTATCCCTGCTAAAGTTCTTTAATAGACAGAAATGGAAAAACAGGAAAAAAAGTCAGACAAATTTGATTTGAATTACAAACTTTGGTTTATCACTCTCAGTACACGTTTCAGCAAAACTGGTTGCGACTCAGCTACACCTCTCTCTGGACCTTGACTTAGAACATTTTGCTACATAAATATTGGAGGTTCTCCCTTGCATTACCTTTTCTCCTGGTCTCTAGTGTCCTCAGATATTTATTCAAGTATCAACCCATTTGATTGACCAAGTTACAGGAATTGAGTAATCATGCTGTTTCCAGCTGTATAAATTCTTTCTTCCAGTGCTTACTCGTTGCCCCCCCAGAACTTAAAACAAGGGGGGTCTCAGTGGCCTTGTATAAGTTCTGTGCATGGTGTTCCCTACTCCTTGATGCCTCAGCATTTAAGAGTCCCCGCAGCCCCTTAAAACTTTCAGCAGAGTCATTGTCCAGCAACATAAAGACCCCCTGCATCTGTAGAGACCAGAGGAAGGTACTGGACCCATTGTTTGGTTGGGTCCCGGGAGCTGTTTGTTCTTTTATCAAGTGCCTATGGAAAGGAAAGCAACAGCAGAGCGTTCCTGAGTGTGTGTGGAACAACAATGGCTCCATTCATTTGAACTGCACCTGTTACTCTTCACCTGAGTATCCTGAAGAAGACAGAAGTTGCCCTCAATCAGTGTCTGTCTGTCTGTCTCTCTCTCTCTTATTTTAAACTCTCAATGTTGTTCAGAAATAATTTTCTATCTCTTTTGTTAATAGTAAAATGCAGGAATTTTGCTCATTGGAAATATATACATGTTGCTATGGCTACTTTTTAAACTTCCTGGATCATTCATTACTCATCAATCCAGGCCACTGGCTCCTTAACAGATGTGAGCGTTTCAGGAACTACCCGTGGTACCCAGGGAAATACAGTTTACCTCCAGGGTGAAAACTTCCCAAGCTCCTCACAAAATCCCTGTGACCTAACTCAGGTTACTCTTACTCCTCACTTTCCCAAAAATCCCAATGTGTTTCATTCAGAAAGTCTTAGCTGCAGGTCCTGAGATTCACCGACCCCCCCCCCCCCCAAAAAACCACCCCATTGACAAAAACCATGATGAAAAGATTGCATCTTCATTGGATTATGTGCAAAAGAACCCGAGTGGGTTAATAGTATGGAACTCAAGCTCAGACCTTGTGACCATTTAAGGTGCCTGACAGTGGCCAGGTACACTGAGTCTATGAACATTGAAGTACTATATGCATTGATTGCTTAATGCCAAGTGACATTAATGCTCACTCATGAATGTTTTATAGAATTTGGAATACAGTAACTGGGGGTTGTTTGGTTCTTGCAGCGTTTTTTTGTCCTGGATAATGGAATGTTAAAGTATTCAAAGGCACCACTCGATGTAAGTAGCACACAAGGCATGTTTCGAAGATTGATTGCTTGAAGTGAGTACGCGGCACAGCTGCACAAGCCTTGTGCCACAGTTACCAGCTTTGCTCATTTCTGTGCCTGTCATATGTAACAAGCTACCCAACTTCCATGCTGCATGGAAGGTGTGTTTTATGCTTCAGCTCAAGCTAGCATAACATCTCAAACTAGTGCATGAAGATTTAACTATTGCAATGTCTGTTGTTTGAAACAAGCTTAAACCTAAAAGTGACATGCTAATAAAGGTCACCATTTCTATCTTGAAGAGAAAACCCAAATAGGTTTTTTCTGTGCCTTAACAAACTATGCTTTATGTGCTTTTTTGATATTTAAAGCAACCTTTGTTCTTGTTCATGTCCTTTTAATATCTACCTTAGGAACTTCATTTTATGTCATATTTCATATCCTATATCATTTTATCTTGGGAATCCCAACTCACTAAAATTATTCCAATTTATTTTTCTTTAAAAAGTAGTTGTTTGCATGTAAAACTGGAAAATGCCGTCCTTGGCTTTGTGGTATAGGGAGAATAGCAGATTTCAGCTTTGTTCCCATCTCTTCCGTTGAATCAACTGTGTGTCCTTGTCAGCCAGAAGGACGAGGGCAGCTGGAAGGCCAAACTGGCTGCATGGTGCTCTCTGGCCCCAGCTGCCCAGCTCTGCCCCAGCAGCTGTCTTCTAGATGATTACTTGGGATGTTTTGGGTTGTAGGTCAAAGATCAACCATAGTTATTTTAGGAACCATTAAAGTTATTCTTGGGGGGATATAAACTATGCAATCTAGAACTGTGACAAATTGGCACTATATGATATGCCTAAAACAGAAGTAAGAGATGAATAGTCTTATTGAAATTGGTGTGAAGCCACAGCAACCTCAATTGTCCTTAAAGACTGCAACCTCAGAACCTGTGTTCTGAGTGACCCGTCGCCTTTGTAGAGGAGGTGTGGTGTTCCCTTCCCCATAGATAAGTGAAAGATCGCAATACGCTCACTTCGGTACAGAAACACATGAATTCCCATGCCTTCCAGCCTATTTACTAGTCTCTTGATTTCAGATTCAAAAAGGGAAGGTCCACGGAAGCATCGACGTGGGACTCTCGGTCATGTCCATTAAAAAGAAAGCTCGGAGAATAGACCTTGATACAGAAGAGCACATCTATCATTTGAAGGTAAAGTTGCTTTTCAGCAGTTCCTCTGCCATTATCAGGGAAATCACTTGGCCTTCATCAGTGGTAAACAGAATATTGGTTCCACCACTACCTCCCCTTGTGCATTGTTTTAGGTGAAATCCCAGGACTGGTTTGATGCGTGGGTCTCCAAACTGCGCCATCATCGACTGTATCGGCAGAATGAAATTGTGAGATCGCCAAGAGATGCCAGTTTCCACATATTTCCTTCAACCTCCACAGCTGAATCCTCACCTGCTGCTAATGTCTCCGTTGTGGATGGGAAGGTACGCCTTTGTTATATAAAAATCAGCCAAGAAATTGCTTGGAAACTTAAGCATACACATAACTGAGTCTCATTTGCCCAACCAGAAATAGAAAGTTTTCTTGGTAAACCAGCCCTCAGGAGACAAGAGTGACAGTTGGCATCAAAGTTAGTCACAAGTATGGATTCAATGGGTATGTGGATCACCAAGAGAATTAACATCCTTTCTTTGAATGGACTGACTGCGTCCTAATTTTACACTGCTTTTGAAGACTGTTAAGAAGTAGGGCAAACATTTGGTTAATTGGCACCTAGAAATCAATGTCTTCCTGGGTGGTAATAAGACTACAAAGTTTTGAAAATGAAATGTGCTTTTTTGCCTTGCTGTATAATATATACATGATCCCTGGAGAGACCAGTGAATTTCCCTCAAAGTTAATGCAAGTGGGCTAGAGATGCGCCAATAACAGAAGCAGTAGCCCATGTGAGTAGCCCACTGGTCACACGTTGTGTTAAGCACTTGGCCTTTATTCATCTCTAATCTTCAGTATAGGTACAGCTCAGAGACAGTAAAGAATTTTTCCAGAAGTTACATAGCCATTAAACAGCTGAGCTGTGATCTGAATCCTCAGCTCTCTGCTTCCAAAAGCAGTCCTCTTTCCATTATACAGTACTGGGTACCAGATTAAGGGAGGCTGAGGTTCTTAGAACTGTATTTAAGAGTTCATTTTCTATGTTGCTAAAAAACTAGAGGTGTTGCCTATTAACAATTAAGGTGAAGACCACAGGCAGGGAGACAGCCATTTCTGCCTTTGATTCAGTCATTGAGTTTTCTGAACCACGCCACGCTGCCCCGCCCAGGAGTGTTCCAGCTTCGCCCTCGGCACCTGGTGTTGGGGGCAGAGGCATCTGTGAATCACTGGCTGCCACAGAAGTTGGGTTCGAGTGTGTTCGATTGGAAATTTACCTTTTCTCTTTTTTCTTATATAAGGATGTAATAAATGTTTTAGATATATAAAAGTTTTACTTGCAAAGCGCTGAAAAGCCTCATGGAGTAATTGCAAGACTAATCAAATCAGATTAAATGAAAGACTACTGTATTCAGTTTCTGCTATTTCAGTGGAAATGACTCAAGTAATTTTTGCTAAATCCTATGAATTGCACTTCATAAGGCTCTCAAAGACTTTCTGGTGTAGCGTTGCCAAGGAGTGTTTAATTAGTCCTAGGAACGTTGTATTGTGTCAACCCCAATACTAACCAGTTCTGAAATGAAGGAGAATGAACCGGGAGATTAGAGGGTCAGGGAATGAGGCACTTACTGAATGACCCAACACCAGACGCTCAAGATAGTCCCCAGGTTTCTCTGGGCCACCTGCCCTCTCACCGCAGAATAGATGGAATCCCAGCATTAGTCCAAATTAAACAGGAAATGTATCCCAGGTAGATATTTCAAATATATAAATTTTTAATCCTTTGATTGTTCCAGCTCCTGCCTGCATCTTTGGCACAGAGAAGTGATCAAAGTTGTATTATTTTCATCCCTTTTGTTAGTTATTAAATAACTTGGGTGGTATCTGGAATGGAGAGCTAAAAGCAGGTCCTCCCCACTGTTCGCCTTAGAATAAGAAAGCTTGTCAGCTCTGATGTCCATGGAGGACCTGTTGCTCTAGTTCCAAGTGACATACTCTGAGGCCCAACTCAGTGAAAAATCCCCAGTGCATTTATCAAAATGCACTCAAGTCTGAGAAGAGCTTTTTATCACTGTGCTTGCATTCTAAGCACCACATTATGAGACTCCTGAATGTTAATTGGTTTGTAGCCCTGTGTGGATAATAAATAAGTCTGTCTTTGCTAAGTATGTGCTTCATTCACTTCATAATGATTTAGAAGTGGCACAACCAGTTGTGATTGAACATTAAAGTCTAATACAGAGAGTTTTAAAGTTGTTTTAGCTTTTTGGGAAAATAAATTTCTGCTCTTTTTTTTTAACTGAGCATTTACTGTATTCACTTTAGTATCTGTATAGTTCATACAAACTTATTTCCCATAAAATGTCTTCAATAGAAAGTCTGTCAGCTTTAAATAGTAATTTGCCAAGACTACCTTTTTATAAACTATAATGTTCAATATGCATTCAAAGCATTTACAAGATTGCTTGCTGGTGGATAATGAAGAGTATTTAGGAATCACAGGTGGCTACCAAGACCTTGAGCTGCTCATGAGGGTACAGACTTGAGTCCACAGTGAGGACAGTGTGTTCAACTACAACTTCCTGAGTGATTTAAAGTATGGGGAATTGGAGTCGGCAGGTCCTCGTGCGTTTGAGAGATAACACACTTGAATGCGGTCCCCTTTGTTGTGTAATGGTGGCAGCAACTTCACGAAAGTGTGGTTAGTGTCATGCCTTTTGGCGTCGCTGAGCACATACATTTAGCCAAGAGGCTTCTTCCATATTTTGATTATGCCCTTCCTTCCTTTCTTTTTTAATGTTGCTTTAAGAATACTTGTCATGTAAAGAGATGAGCATTTTTTTAAGTCACTTAACTATGCCATTTCTGCTTACCTGCATTTCTTCTTGTTTGTTGTAGATGCAGCCCAACAGCTGTCCGTGGCAGTCCCCGTTACCGAGCAGCAGCAGTCTCCCCTCCTCCTGCACGACCGGCCAGAGGAAAGTGGCCGCCTGGTTACAGGACTCGGAGGAAATGGACAGGTGTGCAGAAGGTTAGTTCCTGCGTGTTGTGGGCTCTCAGAATAAGCCAAGGAACGGAAACAAAGGAGGTGAATTGTGGGTGCTGCACCTTTCACTCCCCAACCTCCTCGACTGCCTCAGCCTTTACTTGCTTATTTTTATACACCGGATCCTTCGTGCCATGAAACAGGTCAGTTCTGCACCCTCACAACGACCGAATCTGGTTTTGTCCTTACCCTGGCTTCAGCCTTCTCACCTCATCTGGTGACCTGCTCCATCTGGGTTCGTGGGCCTCCCGTCTCCCTGGATCCCGGGAGGAGTGCTGCTTCAGGAGCATCCTCCACCCTCACTCCTTGACTCTCTGCCGCGTCACTCCCCCCACCTGTGCATTGCATTGCATTGCTTCCAATCAATGGCAAACTATGTTGTATCTTCTATCCACAGTTACCTGTTAGACGTGTTCCACTGTGGATCAGTTACTAAAGGTTCTGAATTAATACACTATTCCCTCACTCTGCCATCTCTAAGCCTCTTAGTCTCCAGAAACTTTCTCCTCCTAATTAGCCTGCACACGTAGGTCCAGACTGGATCCACAGACCATTTCCATTCTACAAGACAGTGTTCGTTTGACCTTCAAAAATGAGAAAAATAAGGATCACATGGGAAATGTGCAATAAGGCTAAACTGATATCGTTTTCAAAGTTATTTAGAGATAATGTTGGGCCTAACTTCTTTTTTTTTGTCTTTTTTTAATTTCCTATATTTTATTTTTTTATTGATTATGCTGTTACAGTTGTTCTATTCCCCCTTTCATTCCCCTCCACCCTACCCCCCATCCCCACCATTACCCCCCCCTTTAGTTTATGACCATGTGTCTCAAGTCCTTTAGATTCTATATTTCCCATGCTATTCTTGCCCCCCCATCTATTTTCTATCTACTGTCTATGCTACTTGTTTTCTGTACCTTCTCCCCCCTTCTCCTCCTCCCACTCCCCTGTTGCTAACCCTCCTTGAGATCTTCATTTCTATGTTTCCACTCCTGATCTAGCTGTCCTTTTAGTTTGCTTTCGTTTTAGGTGTGGTTGTTAATAACTGTGAGTTTGTTGACCTTTTACTGTTCATGTTTCTTTAACTTCTTTTTCTTAGATAAGTCCCTTTAACATTTCATATAATAAGGGCTTGGTGATGATGAACTCCTTGAATTTGATCTTATCTGAGAAGCACTTTATCTGTCCTTCCATTCTAAATGAAAGTTTTGCTGGATAGAGCAATCTTGGTTGTAGGTATTTGGATTTCATGACTTGGAATACTTCTTTCCAGCCCCTTCTTGCCTGTAAGGTCTCTTTTGAGAAATCCGCTGACAGTCTGATGGGGACTCCTTTGTAGGTGACTGTCCCTTATCTCTTGCTGCTTCTAGGATTCTCTCCTTCATTTTAATTTTGGCTAATGTAATGATGATGTGCCTTGGTGTGTTTCTTCTTGGGTCCAACTTCTTTGGTACTCTCTGAGCTTCCTGGATTTCCTGGAAGTCTATTTCCTTTGCCAGATTGGGGAAATTCTCCTTTATTATTCGTTCAAATAAGTTTTCCACTGGTGGCTGTGCCTTTCCCCCTTCTGGTACCCCTATAATTCAGATGTTGGAGCATTTAAAGATGTCCTGGAGGTTCCTAAGACTCTCCTCATTTCTTTGAATTCTTGCTTCTTGACTCTTTTCTGTTTGGCCATTATTTGCTTTCTTCTGGTCCACTCCATTGATTTGAGTCCCAGTTTCCTTTTCATTGCTATTGGTGTTCTGTGCAATTCCATTCATTTCAATTAGTTTCGCCTTCATATATTTGTCTAATTTGTGACTATAATCAACCAGTTTTGTGAGGATCCTGATCACCAGTGTTTTAAACTGTGTGTCTGAGAGTTTTGCTATTTCTTCATCGCTTAGATCTATAGGCTCTGGGGCTTTGAGATCTTCTTGCGCCATTTTTGGTCTGTTCGGGCCCTTTAAGTGTGAGAAGCGGCACCTTGGACTCCCAGGTCGCTGGGTTGAGACGCTGTATGTGGGGGCGTGGTCAGAGCGGGGAAATGGCGACCCCCTCTGCTGTTTCCCACAGCTGGGTGAGGAGCAGCGCCTTAGGTGGTTCACCTGGGCCGGGCCACTCAGAGTCGCTGGGTTATGACGCTGTATGTGGAGGTGGGGTCAGAGCAGGGAAATGGCGGCGCCCTCCACTGCCGCTTGCCGCGGGGAACCGCTGGGCCCTGGTCCAACCGCCCACTCCCTCGCCTGTCCACCCGCGCACAAATGCGCGACCACAGTCAACACGCAGCCCCGCTCCCTGCTGTCTCCCCCACGGTCACTTGCCTGGTCGCTCACTCAGTCGCTCACTAGGTCCAACCCTGCGCCTGGATTCTGTGCTTCTGGATTCAGCGCACCTGAGTTCGTCTGACCAAGTTTTCCTGTGCAACCCTGCTTCACCAGCCGCTGGTTTCGCCCCTTACCAGTCAGGCTGAAGAATTTGTTGTTAACAGACTTCCGAAAAGTTCAATTTTCCGTGTTCTGGCTGTGTTTTCTGTTGCTAATATTCAGTTGTCTCTAAACTTGGTTGTGTGAGAAGGCACGGCACATCCACCTATGCCTCCATCTTGGCAGAAGTCCGGGCCTAACTTCTTTGATACTAAGTTTTCCCTTTTATAAACTTATGGTGAGAGTAGATAGAGTAGATGTTACAATTTTTTTATGTCCTCAGAAAAATTGAAACTTGGCAATCTGTGTTGGGCACACAACTCCCCCCCAAAAAAGTTGTGGTTTGGTTTGGTTTTGTTTTTTGCTGTACATGTGTGAGCTCAAAGTCTGCAGCATTTTTATTAGTCCTCTAAATATCCCAAACTTACTGTTTATGTGAGAATAGGGTTTTGAGACGGATGTTATATTCATAAAGCATGTCCAGCTGACACTCCATCGAAAGGCTTTTACTCGAACTTGTTTACAAAGCGCACAGGCATCACTCTGACACTGTTCCCTTTGGGTTGGGGAAGGAAGCCGAATCCCACTTTCCTGGGATCCTGCAGGGTCTCCTCAGTGGCAGTTCTAGACATTTCCGCCTCTCCTCTAATTTCTGAGGCCTCACATAAGCTTGTGGCATTTAACCTGACCATCTACATTGCTGAAAAGATTGAGACCATCCCCTGGGATGAAGTCTGTTCTGTACAAAACACAGAGGCATTGGCCTTGATGTCGAGAAGCCCCTGATTGGTGGGAGGATGCACTTGTCTCTCTGTGTGCCGCTTCACAACACGCCGTGGCCCATCCCCTGTGCGCTCTCTCCAGTCTCCGCGTGAGCCTCCTTCGCCCCATCCTGACTGTTCTACCCGTGTCCTCCGTCCTGCACGTCTGTTCTCCTTCAGGATTTAGTGCAGTAGCTACTACCTCCTCTCTCGGGAACAGCCTCGGTTTATCCCACCCCACTCCCTCCTGCTCTCTGCCCGTGGACTCTTTGTTCTCTCTCCTAACTTGACTTTTGTCTGTTTTGGCTCTGTGGAAGAAACAGTCATGGTAGCAGGAGGCCCTCTGATTTCTGCTGGGTTCTCAGGCCTCGTCCTCCCACCCGCCCTGCGGGACCCTCTCTAAGGAGCCTCCTCCCTGCAGCCTCATGAAATTCTTTTTCTCTGCCTGCCCCTCCCTATTTCATGAGGCTTCTCGTCTGGCCAGCCTTAGTTGTGGGGAAATCAAGGTTCAGCCATCAGCTTTTACCTCAATAATTGTAACTACATTCCATTGGGTGCTCATCGTGGGCCCAGCACTGAGCTCAGAACTTTGTGTACAGGGGTGGGCAAAAGTTGGTTTACAGGTGTGAGTACACAAAGCAGAGTGTATTCTTGTTATTATTTATTTATTTATTTATGAGTTATTTCCATTGTTTATTATTATTACTAATAGCCTACTTTGCCCACCCCTGTATGCGGTTTCTGTAAATTTTTGCAGAAGTAGCCAGTGAGGATTGTTATCCACAGGGGATCCAAAACTCAGAGAGGCCAAGTGGCTGGTCTGGGTTACACACCAAGGACTTGGAAGAGCTGGAGGGCTGACCCAGGCCAGTTGTGGTAATTGTGGTAATTATGCTCTGTGCTTTGAAGATGACAGGTATGCTCATAATTTCATATGAAATCTCTATTTTGATGATGACAGTCGTAGCAGCTGCTGGCAGTTATTGGGGACTTCCTCTGTGGCAGACACTATTCTGGGTGTTTCAGATGCATTGACTCATTTAATCCTCTCAGCTCCAGGGTACCAATGAGCACACTTAGGCACAGAGGAGTTAGCTCACTATTCACACCAGGTTCGCACAGCTAGTAACAGTGGAGGTGGGAGTCGGCCTCAGGCAGCCTGACTGCAGGGCGTAAGCTCTTAATCACTGCATCATAGTCTTCTCAGAAGGGCTGGAAATCTTTAAATCTCAGCCCTCTGTACAAGCCATTGCTGTATTCCCATTGTCTCCCTTGCTATTGGCCATTTCTGTGTACATGCTCTGTCCTGCCTCTTCTCACCCAAACTCTGGAAACCAAACTCTGTCTCTGCCCTGAAAATGGTCCCAATTCCTGATCTGTCCCGTTTCTGTCAGTGCTACTGTCATATCCACCCCTGAAACCTTAGTGTCATCTCTGACCCCCCCACTCATTCATTCAGCTGAGACTGAGTTCTGTTATTTCTTTGAAAGCATCCCCCCCTTCCTTTCCCCTTTATCTGCACTTCCTCTCAAATTCCATTTCTGCTTTCCTAGCTCAGGCCCATGTTCACCCAGTCTCTGGGCGGTCACACAGCCCCCTGACTGGAACTCCCGCCCTCAGTTGCTTACTCTGCTGCTCCACCTCTCTCAGGGGCTTGTGGGAAATGACTGCTCTTGAACAAGTTTGCAGCTCTGTGCAACTTAGGAGGCATTATTCCATTGCACTCAGCCATGAGATATGTAGATACTGCAGCCATCCTCACTTTGCAGATGAGGAAAGGGAAATGCATGGAAGTTAAGAAGCCTGCCCAAGATACACAGCTGCCCTGGCAGGGAAGTTGAGACTCCAGCCAACCCATGTTTGACTAACCCCAAAGCCAATTCTTCACCCGCTACATAATGTTCCCTCATGACTGATATTGCTTAAAATAGCTTTGATGCAAAACTCTCTTCGAGTGGTCCTCCAAGGACACTGGGGCTTTAGTCCAAACTACTTAGCGCCCAGCATTTAATATTCAGCTTTCAGTTTTCTTACCCTACCTACTGTTTCAGTGTTGGCCCAGCTTAACGTACTTGCTACTTGAACACACTTGCCTATTCTATTTTGTTGAATTCTTTTCATTGATCCTCCACACATTTCGTGAAATCTTGAAAGATTCCACTGTCTTTGAAGTCCGCTCCGATGACTTCAGACCACAGGAGCCCCCGCTCTCCTGAGCCTCCCCAGCACTTTCTCTTTGGTCTGTATGGGTCGTTTCACAGAATCCCCAATATTGAGGGTGGTTGCATTTCAGAAGTTTATCCTGTAACATCTTCCTGAACCCATAACACATTGGACCTATAGTTGCAATACTAAAGTGACAAGCTGTCCAGAAATCTGGACTTGTAACAATCCAAATCTTCTCCAGTACGGGAGGGAATCGCTTGGCTCTTACAGAACATTTTTTCCCTTATATGTCACCTTTATATACCAGCATATGCCTTTGTTAAAGATGGTACATAATAGTTCAACATAGAGATTGTTTATTGTGTACATTTTTTTTCAAGAATGAAAAACCATGAATCTTTCTTGACTGCTGTATCTCCTGTGCTTGGGACTTTGTGGGGTACGCAGTGTCTCCCCAATCAGTAATACCAAAATGGAATAACAAATGGATAACCTTGGATATACCTTAATTTATCTAACCATTCCACAGTCTTATGACGTGTTTCTTTCTAGTACAAGGTAGGGCACGATGAGAAAATAAATGGCTTAGGGATTTAAGCATTTAATTTCTCATTATTGTAAACAATCTTAGTAGTCCTTTCTTGGCATAATTTTAATTTTTTCCCATATTCTAAATTTAGATTTAATCTCAATTTAATGAAATTCTCAAGATTTTTAAAGTTATTTTTATTTTCTTGGACAAGTCTTCATAATCTTAATATGCAGGCAGACACTTAAGCAAGCAGCGAAATCCTGCCAAGGATTCCGTTCCTTCTGTATTTTAAATGATGGAAGTGCTGAGGCTGGTGCAGTTCATTCGAAGCTGAGGTCCCAGCTCTGTGATTAAACCTAATGTGATCAATCTCCTTAAAGATCATTGCTGGTTTTCCTAGAATTTTCTCTTCTACCATCTCTGTTGCTACTCTAAGTCAGGAGAGTAGGAAAAGTAAATATTACTATCATCACTTAACAAGTGAGGAAACCAAAACCAAAAATTGTAAAGTAAATCACTGTTTCTGGAATCAACTGACTTTCAACTCCCGAAGTTTTAAGTCCTTTGCCTTGAACTGAGTTCATTACAAAGTTCTCTTTCCATTCTGTTAGGAAGGGTTTTAAGCCCGAATCTAGATTTTTGTGCTACTTACACACCATTTGTGTAGAGTAATCACAATTATTAAGAAATAGGAATGCAACACTTACTGGATAAAAGGCTCAGTCTACGGGCAGTCTTGGATAGTCTCCCACCAGCACCTGGCTAATGATGTAATTTTGTTATTTAAAAGGCAAGTGAAATGCAGGTCCCTCGTAGCCATCTTCTTTCTGCGTTCCCCTCTCACCCCTTCCTCTTTTCTTCGCACTACTTTCTTCCCTCATTTTTTCCTTTTCATCTTCTGTATTTCCTACCCTTCAGAGCCACTTCACCTTGTTTTCTACAAAGGGAAGGAGAAGGGGCAGACAAGGGTGCTGCCTCCCCTGAAACGAGGAGCGGGCGGGGGCAGTGGAAGGGCCCCGGCCTTCCCGCTATTCTCTTTCTCCCACCTCCCTGGGCTGGATCCCTCTCTGAAGGGATGTAGGCCTCTGCTGGCCACGGATTCCCTGGAGGGGCAGCAGCAGCTCTTGCTCAGCCCACCCGGGCTCCATCCTGAGGCAGATGCTGCTGAGAGAAGGGACCGAGGTGTGGCCTGGCCCCCGATAAATTGCTCTTCATGTAGGGGATCCACAGTCCTCTGTAAAGAATAGTAACAAAAAACCCACCAAACACAACTACCTATGTTATTTGACCCAGCTAATTTTTAGCCATATTTAACAGCAATATTTTGCTGCCTATACCATAATTATAACAATTCAGATCTTTGAGATTGAATGAGGAACCAAGATAATAGAAGTGAAATTTTCACCCACTTCCACAAGCATAAGAACAATCACTTTATAATTTTTCACACTTACAATTTTTCAGTTGCATCTCTTCATAAATAGTACACATGCAAAAGTCATCGTGGAACTGGGAGCCACGTTCTGAATGTTGACTGACTGGGTGAATACTGAATAACTATTTTTAACTGTATTTAACCTCACCTACTAAAGGTCAGTTTTCTGTGATATTGTAATATGCATCTCTTTAAGAAAATTTGTTTAAATGTAACAAAAAATTAAAAGTAAAATGAGAAGTCATTTTTTTCACCCTGAGCAGTACAAACAGAATGAGTTTCAGGCCCAAGCGATGCTGATCTTGTGGGCCCGGGGAACACACTTTGAGAACCTTTGGTTTTGTTTGTATAACATCTCTATTAGATTTTAAAGAAATCCTGCATCGCCACACTGTTAATGAGCTAAATGATAGATAAATATGTTCATCTAACTCTGCATTCCATCTTATTTTTCTGAACATGACTTTGATGCCACCCAAATTCCAAGCAGCCACCTTGTAAACTGCATTAGGAACAGGCAGACAGGCTCTCAGCGGTAAAACCATACAACTGCCGCAGCTCCCGTGAGCATGCTTTTATGTGACAAGGGCCACCTGAGCAGGAAAGTGAGCGCACACAATCTGACCGAGATTTTAATGGCTCTCTACACTAATAGCTGTTAATTTGCACGAGTACACTTTGAAGTCATCATGTAATAATGTGTGGTTTAATGGTTCTGAACCAGAGAAGGGTCTGGGTTGTTTGTTGTTGTTGTTTTTTCATTTGCCAGTGTCACCATTACCTGGAAACGCGGGTCTGCCTAATCACAGTTGCCATCGTTTGGATCGGCTCGCTACTATTACCACCACCAGCACTCCCTGCCCACTTCTAACATCGGTTCATTTCTGATTTTCCTAGACCTTGCACACTGCCAGTCAAACCTCGTGGAACTTAGCAAACTCCTGCAGAATTTGGAGATACTTCAGAGAACTCAGTCAGCACCGAACTTTACTGACATGCAGGTAAACACATTGCCGCTACTGGTAAAAGGACCTGAAGGTATTAACTCAGAATTTTTACTGGATTGTGCTATGAATATTTAAGGTAATATTTAAAGGGGGAAAAGTACAATACAAATTAGTTTCTAATATGGGGTTATTCTTAATATTTTTGAATCTTGGTGCCATTGAATTAAGCTGTATAATTTGAAATGTTTTACTTTTAAATACAAACTAGAAGAAAAAATCTGAATCAATCTTCCATGTTTGTGTTATTATGAGAAATAATAACTTTGAAGACATAACTGAGATGCTCCCAGAATTGTTACCATCTTTTCATGTAGGAAAAAAATGCTGAAGATCTCTAATCCTATAGATTTTGTATAGCAGAAGAATACATTTTATGATTAAGTTTTTGTCTTTCCTTTTAATGCCCACTATGCATTAGATAACACCTTTCTCTCCTGGCTGGTTTGCTCAGGTGTCTAACCACGAGTCTTGACTAACTTGTTCTCTTTGTGCCTATGTTGTCTGTGTGAACTTAATACTTTGTTGCTTTTAACTATTTGTGTAATGTAGGCTAACTGTGTAGATATTTCAAAGAAAGACAAGCGGGTCACAAGAAGATGGAGAACAAAAAGTGTCAGCAAAGATACAAAAATACAACTGCAGGTACAGACTTTTCTTTCATTCATATTTTTGCATATTTTATAGTCTCTATATCAGTTCATGGATGTGAAAAAGGTTACAGCAGCTTAACTGCTTGAAAGCCAATGCTGTTCAGACTGAGTTACGTTATATAAAAAAGAGGGAAATCTGTTCTTTTTACTCTGATCTAAGTAAAAAGAAATTAAAATAAAGGTCAAAATTATTTAATATAGCTGCAAAGTGGCATTCTTTTTCTCAGTTATGGACTTAGAACCATTAAAATAGATTTTAACAAAAAGTCACCTTAAAAATCTCAACTAAAGACCCAGTGGGTTGTATTGAACACTCATTTTTATATACTAGGCCTTAAAAGAGCCAGCTTTGTCCAGATTTTCACCTGTCAATAAAAAAGTGAGAGCTGTAATAGATTGGAAATTAACAAACCCGGGATCTAGCCTAATCATTGTGATTTCTTGGCAGTATCATTTCATGTATTTCTCTGAAATTTGGGGGGCTTCTTTTTGCTTCTGGGTAAAGGAGTTAATGATTTTTTAATTTCCTTTGAACTCTAAAATTTCATGTTTCTACACAAATAGATATTATTTAGCCATCAACAGTCACTTTTAAAATCTGAACTGAAGTCTTAATGTCTCATGATAAATTTACTTGAAATTTATTTTCAGTAAGTTATTTATTTGAAATGAGTAATTTGAAATTTCGAAATAAGATCCTATTTTGTTATTTTACTGCAATGATACTTATGATGAATGCCTAAAATCTCTTATATCATAAATCATATTATTTTTAGATCTTTAAACTAGACCCTGTATTTCTCCAGTTTTAGCTATGTATTCTGAAGGGCGCTTGCCCTGCACAATCAAAATTAGACTTATGACTTTGCCTTTCTTTTTACTGCACTATGAATCAATCTACATTCCAATACAAAGGTAAAGGGAACTGCTTTTCAGAATACTTCACTGTCTTCTGAATAAATAACAATAATAATTCTTTAGTTCTTACTGTATTGATAACATTTTTGTATAGTAATTCTGAATGTGTAAATAACAAACTCTTTGTTGCTTTGCTTGCTAATCTGATGTATTTGAAAATAAGTTTTTATAAGCATTAAAAATCCATGGTCTATTTAGAATTTCCACATTCTATGAACACAGCTTTTTGCATTCCTTTATTCAGTATGATTTTGCATGTTTTCCCCTCTATTTAGAAAATTAGTGCTATACAAACACATGTCCAAATGGCTTCAGAAGAAAATTACCTAAAATTGCTTTTGGCAGTTTTATTTGTTCTGAGCACATGATTGTCTACTTTTGTGACTGTTTTATTTGTTTAAAGCATGGTGTCTATGGTTATTGTAACCAGGAAAAAGAACCATTCTATTAAAAACATTTTTGGAAAAGGCTAGCATTATATGGACACATATATACACTTTAGATATTATTTCAATCTTGTTTTTATAAGGTTTCCCACTGAACAGATTCCCACTCACGGTTATTGTCCTGGATAGACTGGTTCTCAGGGAGCCGGCGTGCCACATCCCTGGCCAGCTGCTGTGGCCGTGAGGCCACCACAGTCCCCACCTCGCTCAGTTTTTCTGAAGGAAATAGAGCGCAACTCTGAATAGCCCGCAGAGTCAAGCCTTTTTCAGTGTGCAGAAAGTTTATGTTTTAAGTCATCAGAAGAAATTATATAAAAAGCAGGAAAATATTCTTCATCCCCATACTTGTACAACATTTTTGGGTAGCTTATTAGGTTTTAAGTTTTTATTTATGCTGTTTTGCTGTGTTTTTCTTTTGCCAAAAAAGTAACATGATGGCCCTTGTGATTCTGGTTTAATTATGTTTGAGGGAGATTGAAATCAGGTCCTACCCACACTCAAAAAAAAGTTTAAACTTTCAAAAGTAAGAGATTTAGTTGTAGCTCCAAGTGGAAATAATTAGACTTGGAGGAGTGAGCAGTGAGCTGTGAATCATTTCCAGAGAACCCCCAGCCCCGCATGGACTGGCTGGTAAAACAAAAGGCTTGGTGAGGAGGGTTGCAGAATTTGGTACTATCTCCGGGCCTTTTCTGCTCAGCCAAACCAGGCTCCCTTAGGCTGGGGAACCACACACTTAGCCCTGAGTAACTATAACCCATATAAATGCCATTAGCCATCAGTATTTTACCTACAGGTACAATCCCTGTTTTAAGTGTTTCTTGACCATGGGAATTCCATCCGATGGTGCCATGTACTTGCTTTGAGCCCACAATCATGTCACTACTTGAGCCACTTTCTGTGATGCTCATGAAGAAGTTGTTGCAGCCAGCTTGGGAGGCTTTGTAGTGAGTGGCTCAGTTTTCATCCCCACTATTGTTCGTAACTCTCAGTGTACCAGCTATTTGTGAATGGACCTAGACTGTCTGGTGGTGGTGGTGGTGGTTACTGTTACTGCTGTCGTTATTGGTGCCTTCACTGAGTTTTGCATTCAGCCTTCTGTAGCAGTTTTCGTTTGTAAATAATTATAAAACATCATTTAAAAAGTTGACCCTAGGAAAGTAAAAATGAACATGTTGTACTGGGTGTTCGATTTCTTATTCTTACCCGGGTTAGATTGTGCTGTTGATTCGAACGGGAAGGTTATGGCCGGGCGGCCACTAAAAGCCAGTGAGAACCAAGCCTCAGGAATCCATCGAGTAACTCAGTGAAGGCAACGTGTTTGTCCCAGGAGGCTCTGTGGAGATTACCTTTTAAAAAAGGACTTCTTGTCCTTTTTTAAAACTTCCAAACTTCCAATTTTATGGTTCTAATAAAAATCTCAGTATGATCATTGTACATTAACAATTGGGCTGTATTTTAAATGCAGAGGGGAAAGCAAGAACAGAATGATTATGGAAGGGTTTCTATAGAAGAGAGAGCTGCTGATGTCCTGTGTTGCTGATAGCATGAATCAAATACTAGATCCCTAGTTGTTGAAGAGAATGAGGGATAGTCAGAAGTATGGAGTAACCGATAAATGATCTGGGGTTGTTCATGTGTAGCTATCCTAGATCTCACAGGTGCTCAGATTACAATGTAGGCTCAAAGTAAGTTCTCTTTTACTATATTAAATATGCAGGTATTGTGTATAGGAAAAATGTTTGGTGGAAAGCAGGTGATATGTGTATGTGTATATATAATAAACATATCCTACACATACGCAGAAGATTTAAGAAGATGGAAGAGAAATGTGATTGCAATTTGGCAAATATAAAGAGAATTAGAGATATAAGAATGTAAAATATTTGTCTGTTGTTCCAAAAAGACTAAAGCACCCTTGATATTTTTTCTGGATCTGTACTGTTTGGTGACTTACACACATCTCAGTTCATTGGGATTGAAATTAGTGCCCCCAACCTTGAAGAGTTGGGATCTGTCAAACGGAGGCAGAGTTGCCTGGCTAGAAGGAACTGTCGTTCTTCTGATTCTTGTCCACCAAGAGGAGAAAAGAAAGGAAGCACGCTCAAGAATCCTTCCACTGGCTTATGCATAGGTGCCCATCACTGAGTGAAGCCTGTGCTCTCAGGTTTCATAGCTGCTTTCTGTAGGATGTTTTCTTACGCTTTGGGGATCCTCTTGGAAAGTTCTTCAGCCTGAAAATCCCAGCACCATTCCTACTGTTGAGTTCCAGAGAGCTTCACTGGAAGGGAATAAAAGGGGAGTTGAAGGTTCCTGCTATCCCGTTCCCTTACTTTTTCCTCTCACCAAGAAACAAAAAAATTCTGCCTGGCCATCAGGAAGCCCCCATTACAACCTGTTCGTTTTAATGTGTGTATATTATTTATTTAATTTCTTTTTCCTCAACTCATTTTTTTTATTTGCTTCCATTTATTGAGGGCCTTTGGACTTCCTGTAACATGACACTGCATGAATAAGGTGGTATGCAAATGCATTTCACCTTGAAATCCCAAGCTATTCATCAGTTCATACCTTTCTATCCCTCTCTGGGTGGGGCTGTTGTTCAGCAAGTAGGCGGATGTGTTTGGGTGTTCTGCAGTGAGAGGGATGCATTTTCCTCGCTGCCCGAATGCCCCTTAGCGCTCTTTTTAATGCCAGGATTTAGGAAAAATCAACCATAGTTAACCCCCCCCCCTTGTCCGATGATCCTTCGTCCTCCCATATCCTGTCCTCTCTCTGCCTCATCCCGTGTTTTTTTCCTCCCTCCTCTTCTCTCATTCACTGTCAGGAAGGGCCATCTGTGAAGGGCCAGTTCAGCACCACTCGGCGCCGGCAGAGGCTAGCGGCAGCGGTGGCTACAACAGTGAGTGGATTTCAATCTCAAGCAGACGTTTAATGACAATGAGAAACTGTGTACGATTGTCAGCCCCCCTGTTTCCATGGTGCCACTTGCGTGTGACCATGTCAACCGTGGCCTGCTCCTGCGTTGGCACAGCTTTTGCATGTTTTCTGGCTGCCTTTGCATGGCAGGAGTGGACCTGGGTGTTGGTGTTTGCGATGGAAAACTATCACGTAATCCAATTCTCTACCTGTACCGTCGGTGTAAGGAATCATTTTGATTCAAGGTTGTGGAACAGCACAGCCCCTTGGGGTGTGGGATATCCTTAAATAATGTTTTTTGTTCGTTTTTTTGTTGTTGTTTGTTTGTTTGCCATACTGGTATTAGAACCTTTGCTAACTGATTTCTGGTTTTCTAAGAAAAGTCATGTTACTACAGACATAAATTGTGCTTTTTCTTGTAGCAATGTGACTATTTGAACAGGATGTGAGAATAAAGAAATGAGAGGGTAAGAAAAGGTGAATTTTGATGTCATATCTAAATGGCTACACTTAGCAAGAGAAAAATGTTTCCTGGAGTGAATATTGAGCTGGACATCAGAAACTAAATGTGGCAAAGTAGAAAAACTTTGTCACAATGATGTTTAGTTCATATCTACAGGTTTGTTTGGGTTTTCTTTAAACAGAAAATAGAATGGATATTAGGAGGATAGAGGACACATTGAGGTAGATAAGGCAAATGACAAAGTTAAAATTGAGTAGGTGTTCCGAGTAGTGAATTGTCTGTGTGGAACTTGAAGTAGAACATGTCAGTACCAGGACCCTTTGCTGCATAAAAAAAAACCATAATATTTGTTTATTCATGACATCCTATCAATTTTTTTAAATAAAGTACTTTGTTCATAACAATCATAGGTGTTCATTTTTTATTATTAGGTAATATCTCTTGGATTAATAATAGTTTTACTCTTGGTAGTGGTTGAGTATATTTAATGTTAGAATTGCTGAAAATATGAAAAGGTTTTGGTTGTGTTATGGGAGAATGGATATTGGTGCAGGGATTGGTTTTCTACTAATGATTGATTGGCCACTACTCTTGCATTTTATCTAGATGCTTACCTGGACTGTTTGAGAAACAAAATTGATTTTGATTATAAAATGAATCAGTGACTTGGAATTTATTAGGGGACTGACTCTTAAACTCACATTTTTCTGACTCTCAGAACAAACAAATTATTGAAATAGATGTCATGGTTAATGTGTATCTTATACCTATACTCAAATGCAGATGAACAAAGTATACAACACCTATACGGTAACAGATTCTAACAATAGATACATGTATACTCTGTTAAAGAATTCTTCAGTGCAATCTTTCATTTATAAAATTAAGAAATCAAGTGATGATTACAGAACACCATCTCAGTGTGGAAAGGCAAATGCTGATAATGTTTCCTTAGGTAACATGCTTCTAAGATAGCACACAGGGAAGTGAATGTTTCTGCTTGTGTTCATTTTTTAATTGCAGATACATATAGTGAATAAAATAAAACTGGGATGAGAACCTATTTGAATCAAATATGTTTATATTTCAAAAGTTGAGGATAGAAGAGAAAACCCTTTTAGAAGAGGAAGGTGTTGACGCCTACCGTCCAGGATAGCTGTGACTGTGGAAGTTGAGAATAACTTAGATGCACCCAGTGAGAAGAAGTACTGGCAACACTTAGCAGTGAATTCAGGAATAGCCAGGGGGAAAGTCTCCCTGCACCCTCTGGAATTTATAACTTGAACCCCAGAGCATAGCAACCCTCAGCTGGCCCCCTTGGCCCCCCCCTCCACATCTCAGGGACCTGATGCCGGTGACTCCTATTTCTTTTACTGCAGTGGTTCTCCCTAATTCCCAGTTCTTCCTCTTCCCCACACTAAAGTTACGCCACACATTTTGAGCCCATCCTATCCTGCTGATACCTTTTATCCAGATTCTTCCACGCAACTCCTAGTCACTCATTTTCCTTGCCCACCTAGGTGTCTGGGACAGCTGAGACAGGCTCCCCCCCAAAAAAGTGCACCCAAGGAAATGTTTCAGGGGTTTATTATTGTCAATCCTGAGCACTTAACACCCAAGCGGACCATTTGCAACATCAGCCAGATCCAACAGAATAGGGGGTGGAAAAAGAGAAACACTGGCCCCTCAGCATGGATGGACTCTGAGAGTCACAGTGCAGCCTGCACTCTGCACAAGGGTCCTTGTACACGTGATGCAGGATGACAGCCACAGACCTGTCACCCTGGCTCCACGAGTCATCTGCACTTAGCCCTGCTCTTGCGGCTTCTCCTTTTCTATCATGCGTATTACCATTGCTGAATTTCAGTGCCAGTACCTTCACTATCAATCCGTTTGTCTTTTAACCTCTTCCTAGACAGGTGTTAAGAGCACCTCCCACCCAGGCCAGTGTGGCTCAGTTGGGTGGAGCACCATCCCATAAACTGAGAGGTTGTGGGTTCGATTCTCAGTCAGGGCACATTCCTAGGTTGCAGGTTCAGTCCCCTGTTAGGGCACACGTGGAAGGCAGCCAGTCAATGTTTCTCTCTTACACTGATATTTCTCTTCCTCTCTCTCTCCCTTCCCTTCCCTTCTCTCTAAAATCTGAGCATGTGCTCAGGTGAAGATTTAAAAAAACAAAAACAAAAGCCATCGCCTGACATCCCATTCCAAAGTGTAGTTACTAGCACCAGAATGGTCTGGTTTCGGGCTTCCTCCCAGTCACCGGATGTCCAGGAAGCCTTGGGTTCCTGACCAGGGCGTAAAGGCCACATCCAGGGCTGAGAGTCTGAGCACAGACACCGAGAGCTGTGGACAACTGCCATTCCAGCCGTCACCCACACAGAACCCGGTGCCCCTTACATTGTTCAATCCCACGAAATGAAGTCCCCAGACTGAAGAGGTGCGCAGTTAGGGTGAGATTAATGCATCTCACTTTGTCTTCTCAATTTCATTTCATGAATTCTTCTATTCACATGACCCGTCCATACACTTATTTTAACAAACAAATGAAGAAGGTATCACTACAACACTTGCAGTGGGCAGCGCACAGTTAGTGTTCAGGCTCACGGGGGCCTGTGTGATTGCAGTTCGAGGGGAGCATTCCAAGTCTCTTTCCCTGTGGGTTACATCCAAACCCACTTTCACTAGTCTGATTGCCAATGTAAGCTTCCATTACGTTCAAAATATGAATTTGTAACTTACATTTTTGTTTTGAGCTTCTCATTCCAAATTTTAGTAAAGAGGCCATGATCTCAGGGTCAAGTCTGGGTCCTTCCTGGACCCTCGGGGGCCCCCAGCGCGCCGTGGCCTCCCCGCACAGCAGCCTCCCCCAGCCGTCACAGCCCCCTCCCTGCCACCGAGGGGAGGGACGCCTCTCCAGGGCCTTGCCAGCCCTTGCAGTGCTGAAGGCACCCTGCACGGATAGCCCCCCTTTCCTTGATCGTCAGCGTTGCATCCCCATCACCAAACACCTGCATTCCTTTTTTTTAATGCTCTTCTGGTTCTTTGTATTGGGAAGCCATATCCCTAAATCTGAAACTTCCTGACCGACACCTTTCCTCACGTGACAGTCTCCCCTGTGGCCTCCAAATCTCCACCACCCTCTCCACGGATTTTCTGCTTCCCTCCTAGAGAGCTAAGGGCTGCCTGCTCTTTCTGGATTTAGCATCACCAAAGTTAAGGTCAGAAATTTTCTTTACCTACCTTCCAATATTCTTCCATATAAATGCCATTCCTTTATAAGCATCCCCAGAAGACCTCAGTTGTTGTTCTCACACGGTTGCCTGGACAGGATTCTAGCAAAGCCTTAAACCCAAGTACTCCATTTTCTCAAAGGGCTTACCTGCCTCTGTGTGTGTGTGTGCACGTGCCTTTTCTGTGGAAGCCAGAAACTCTGAACTTGATGAGATAAACGAGCTGTTGACATCTCCCAGCCCAGAATAGCAAGGTCCGCATGGAGGGTGAGATAGAGTTACTTTGATAATTCCGGATACCAAATGATTCGGATCATATACATGAGCATGCTTAGAGTAGCTGAATTTAGGGCAAAGCTTCATGCTTACATCCTTCCCCAGGGAGTCTTGGGTATCTTTTTAGATGTATAACTTCCTGCCTTGGCCGAGTGACTTTCAGAGGACTCTTTCCCGGGTGCACAAACCACAGCCTGGGTCAGATTTTTTTGGTTCTCTCCACCTGCTCTGAGCAGCATCTGTGTCCTCCGTGCATGAGCACTAGCTCATGTTCATTCTCTCTCTCTCTCTGCCTCCCTCTTTTTTTCCTATCAGGAAGTTTAAAGCAAATTTTTTAAAAAAGGGCCCTGGTTGGTGTGGCTTAGTGGATTGAGCACCAGCCTGCAAACCATAGGGTCCCCGGCTCAAATTCCTGTCAGGGCACACGCCTGAGTTGCAGGTCAGGTCCCCAGTAGGGGCCACACGAGAGGCAACCACACACTGATGTTTCTCTCCCTCTCTCCTTCCCACTGTGTCTAAAAATAAATAAATAAAATCTTTAAAAAATGGAAAAAAGAATGTTGTTCTGACATACATATACACCAGACAAGATATCGTTTGCCTCCTCCCACATCACATTTCCTGTTCATTAGAAGATGTGAATTATGCTGTAATTTATATAAAATTCAGCTTGCAAAGGAGTCTAAGGGTCTGATTCTTGAAGGTAATTGAATGAACATCTGCAATAAGAATTAGGGGAGGGCACCTGTAATCTGATTTACAAAACGAATCGGCACTCTCATTTTCGAAGACTGTCTGGCTGACAGCATTCGTCATGGTCAGGTAGAATGTTCTAGAAGGAAAGGGCAAGGACCTTTGCCTGCACTCGTCACAAGCTTACCCCAGATCCAGCCTGGGCAGAAAAGTGCCTCTAACCATTTGGAAAAATCTATAGTAATATGACTTTTTTTACCTAATGCTTTTCCGTATTGACCAGTTAATAAGCCATGTTCATTTATGTCACAGAGTTGTGTATAATATACAAGGGTAAATCACAGTAATTTATGGAACATGTATTTCATTTACAGATTTATTTTGATAAGTGAATTTCAAATTTAAGCCATTATTTTTACTAGTAAACGTTTTTGTGTTTTACCTAATGGCTGTGGAGCAAGTGACTTTTCCTGTATTTGCACCTCTTGAGTTTTCGCCTGTTCGGTGAGCTCAGAGAGAAGTGAGCGTAAGAAGTCCTCCGACAGGAGTGCCCAGACTCCATAAGAGAAGGGCACCCACGCCACCGTTCAGTGTTTCTGCCAATAATCTTTGTAGATAAAGCTGTGGGGCCAGAGCTGAAGCTCATCTGGGAGTTCGCCTCTTCTCCCTGCCTTCCCATCACCCTCTCCCCCTGGACCAGGGAGTCGGGCGCAGTCCCAAACCCACCGTGGGAAGTGAGGCCTCCTCCCACCCCTGCCACCTGCAAAATGGAGGAGTGTTGAGTGTCCCCGGGCATGTCGGCAGAGGGGACGTGTCATTTTGAAGAAGGGCAGAGACCTTCTGTGTGGAAGAGGAAGCGGCAGAGCGCACTGTTGCTCATCAACGATTTGTGCCTTTCCTTTCAGGTCCCATTCAGTGCCACCATGTCACCCGTCCGCTTGCATTCCTCCAACCCCAACCTGTGTGCAGATATTGAATTTCAGACGCCCCCTAGCCACCTCACCGACCCTCTGGAAAGTTCAGCAGACTACACGAAACTTCAAGAAGAATTTTGTCTAATTGCACAGAAAGGTAACAACACACCTAGCGCGCCCTTTCGAGGAGCGCTCTTCTTTGGTGAGGGTGCCGTTTACTCGGCTGTCCTCATCTAGGCGGCCGTGGGCAAAGACTGAAGGGTCCGTGTGCTGGTCGGGGTCCTAGTAGAGTGCAGTGGGGCACGGTGCCTGCTCCTCGGGGCAGCGCACGTTGTGGGTTTACTGTTTCGACTGAAGGAGGGAGAAGGAAGAAGGAAAACAAGGACTTATCGCAGGCAGGCCCGCAAACACCACTAAAAACTACATTTTTCTTAGCTATTATTTAATACATAATTGGGGCTATCCTTAGCAAGGCAAAAAAGGAAATAGACTTTGTTCAAGTCTCTCTCTTTTTTTATTAAGCAACACATTGATCGTACTTCACAGTTTGTGGGTCTAAAGCAGTTCTGTGGTCTGGACTGAGCTCACTCGGCGCTCTTCTGCTGGAGGCTGGGCGCAAGGGGCGTGCAGCTTCACCCACGTGCCCGGCATGTGGGTCGGGCCGATGGAAAGCTGCACACAGCTGTGTCCCTCCCCCTCCTCATGGCAGCTCCCCGGATGGAGTGGGCTGGAATGGAAGCTTCTGGTTCTGTTCAAGGCCAGCTACTCCTCTTGGTCAGAGCTTCGCAATCCAGTGCTGACTGGAGGGGAGAAGAAACAGACCCCACTGTGGAGTCTCTTTTTTAACATTAAAACTCAATAAGTAGTGTGAAGTTCAAACGTCATCAGCCACAGTGAGTAGGAAATAATAAATAAAATGCAAGGTGGTAGAGTGTAGGTGGGCGGGTTCTGTATGTATTTACCAGGAAGAACCTCTGTTCTCAAATTACCTCTCCCCTTACTGCTATGTTATTTAAATGTTAGCCACTGGAAAAATAATTAAATAAATAAATAGAAATAAATTTCAGCCACTGAATTCACTTGTGCCTTAAGTTAGTGCCTTCAAAGACACTTTTTTAAATGTATAATCTCTTGGAGATAGATATACTTATGTTTTCAGTCACTATCACTAACATCTTACTGTGAATTAATCACATTTATTTCCCTGGAGCTGCTGGTAATGGGTTATAAAACATTATTGAAAATGTGAGTTAAATGGAACATCTCAGACACCCCCTGACTCCCCACACTCAATACTCAAGAAACCAGTGGCTCAGGAAAACAGGGAGCATGCTGAGGGTGCCCCTGGGAATGTGGAAGTCAACAAACATGTGTACACTCAAACCATCAGCACACAGGTGCTGCCGGGTATTTCTTTAATTCCATAATCCTAAAGTAATTAAGCTAAATTATCCCCTCCCCCCTTCCAGTGGAGATTCTGGAAGTCTAACATTCTTTCACGGGCTATTTTACTCAGAGTACATTTTTATTACATTTCTTAGCTGGTTGCTAATTATGTCATTAGACTAGAGCAATGTATTTTGTTTCTATAATGGCACAGGTTTACAGCCAGCACAGCCGGTAGCTTTGACTCGTGGGGGCGGGGTGTAGGAGCAGATAGACTGAGAAATAACAGTGTAGCCGCTAAAGGAGATGGATACATTTTTCGCTAGCCTCAGGAAAGCTTCATGCATTTCGCTTGTAATCCTGAGGCTTTCGGGAAATCCAAAGTTCAACAGACTTTTAAAGCCTCTGTTGAAACAACATATTTTCTTTTCTCCTATGCTAGGCGAGAAGGGCTTTTCTCTGACTGTTGAGTGAACTCTTTAGAAAGTATTATGGATTTTGAGATGACTGAGAGACTACTTTTAGAGCTGCCCGTGGAATTAATGCATTCCAGCTATCAAGTGATTATCTCTAAACTGATGGCAGAGAATGCAGCACATAAATCAATAGATCAGGAGTCCCTTGTGATCACACCACTTTACCCCTTTAATTCAGGCCACTGTCGATGCTAAAATTTTGCACCTCTTTTAAGAATAAGCTTTCTCAAATAAGGGAATTCCGCTTTTTAGAAGACCTTGCATATAACCAAAATTCTGTTACTCTAAAGATAGGAGTTGGAAATTCAAGCTTTTGTAATTTAAAATGAAAGGCTGCCTCCAACTATCCCAGCGGATGGGGTTAGCCTGCAGGAACAGGAAGGGAGCACTCCTGACCTCGGGATGTTCCTGGCCAAGAAAGTGATGTAGCTGCTGCTGCTCAGGCTGAATCGGCTCCTGACTCAAAGGGGCCTAGTGAGAACTTCCTAGATCAGCTGCCGGTTTTATGTGGACAGGACTCATGAAATGCTCCTTTTATTGGGTGCCCACTTTTGAGAAATAATTTTGGGTCATTCCAGGTGGCTTGCATGTGTCTTTATGGTGCACAGAATTGCTCAAACGCTCTCGTCAACCGTAGCAGAGTGAGACTTGTCCCCTTTTCCTTCCGGGACTTATGGATTGACTTATAAATACTGATACTTAGGATTGATTTGGGTGGCTTCTCTGGTGTGAAATGTTGAAACTTCCACCCCGATCAGTTACCATGGCCATGTTTGTTTCCTGTGTAGATACCAAGACAGAGTACGTGTAACCTTTCCAGAAAACGTTTGTGTATGAGTTCAAGTGTCCAGATGTTCACAGTTGTTGATGTTCTTCCTGGCCTCATTCGATCTTTGTGTCTCACCTTTCTCCCCGTGCAGTGCATTCTCTGTTGAAGTCTGCATTTAATAGCATAGCTATAGAGAAGGAGAAGCTTAAGCAGATGGTTTCTGAGCAGGATCACAATAAAGGCCACAGCACGCAGATGGCACGGCTCCGGCAGTCACTGTCTCAGGTAAACGACAATGTGTGTTTCTTGCTCGTAACACACCTCCACTTCTGTGCGGCACTGGATGGGGGTGGAGGCAGCCGGTCACAGGGGTGGCAAAATCGTCTGTGACTCTCCTAAGACCTTGGGTGTCAATATTAAATTTTGTTACTTTTCTTCCATAGAAGGTCATGGTTAAGGACAAAATCAACCAAACTTACTTGCAAATATATACTTATTTTGGCTGATTGAATACTTTTAATCCCTCTCTGTAGTCATTTATAAGACAGTCCCTGGTTTTCGAATAAAAGAATCATGTACTTACACTTGGTTTACACTTCTGAAATATGGTCAGGAATATATTCCATCCAGTGTTAGAACAAAATCTGTTAGGCCTTCCATACTGAATGTTTTCCCACTTACAATGCATGTCAATCTATTGAAATACTGATTACTATTTTCCTTTTTTTCCTGATTTTCACTCTTAGAATCTTCTTCCTGTTTAAGTATGTTTCCTAAAGCTAGACTGTCATTTTTCAATATGTCTTATATGTATAGTATATATTATTTAATATATATTCATAATATGGTATTCTACATATATCATATTTCTGTTATGAATATTAATTAAATCCCTATGTATATCCAAATTGAAATTTCTGATAAAAATTCTTTAAAGCTATGCTTACGCTCTTCTACACTGAGTACTTGCTCTGACATAAATATTTTCTTTAGTCTGTAAATGCACTTTAAAAAATTTCTTTGAGAATTCAGTGTTGTTATGTGATTTTTGTGTGGGAACCCAGTGTTTATATAAAATATTATTCATTTCCTGGTGCCTTGGATCAGAGTGAAGGAGCCAGCAGACCCTGGGTAAGTGGTTTCCATGCGGATCAGCTCCTGCTTGAACACTCTCCCTCAGTCCTGAGAAACCGGACTTCAGCTGTCTCGCCGTGTTTTATGTACCTGAACTGTCAGCTTATGTTCAATGTGACCTTTCACCTTCTTGAGCGCTGTTACCTGGGCCGCGCTGTTACCTGGGCCGCGCTTTCTGCATTCAGTGCGGATGAAACACTGTCAGTTAGGGGGCCTGTGCCGCTTCCCGTGTGACACCGGGGACTCGGGAGTATGAGTGTTAAAAGCAGCAACTGTCGGCCAGTCTGCAGAGGGATGCATTCGTAAACATGTGAATGGCTTTCCCTGGACTAGTCTCATGTCGTGTATTTGTTCATACAAATGGATAACACGAGTTGACGTTAATTGCCCTTCTAGATCATTATTCTGAAAGTATCACGAATCAGAAGATCAAAATAATGGTGAGATAGACACATAAATGCCAACTTATAAACATAAAATGCACTCTTACCCCCCCTATATGCTACAATGTTTCCTTCAGATGTATTTAACGGAGGAGGCTTAGTACTAGAAGATGTAGCTTGTACTAAGAAAAAACAAGATAAGCTTCTACTAAGGAAAAAAATGTGTTTGTTTCTTGCTTGCTTGCTTGGTTTTATTTACTTTTTGGTAAGGCAGAGGATGGTAAATAGAGATCTGGGTTGGGGCATCAAATGAGATTGGAAGTGATGCTGAAGAGAATTTTAAAAGTTACTTGTTTATTCCTTTATTCATTGTATTACATTCAACTGACTGTATATGAGGTGTGTGAGGTGTGGAACAGCAGTGTAGAAGTAGCCCTGGCCGTGTTCCCAGGAAGCTCATGGTCTGATGCGTGAGATAAACTGTGTTTCTCGGGAAGCAGCTACACGGACCGCGCTACACGGATGGGCACGTGGGTGGTGCAGCTGTCCAGGGCTGTGGTCACCCCGGGGAACAGAAGAGCCCTGAGCGGTGTGCAGGGCCACGGTCAGGAGGCATCGCGCCTCAAAGCAGGCGTGAGTAGGCAGCAGCAGCTCGCAGGGAAGGACCTGATGTGAACATGTCAAAAGTAAAATAAAACGAAATTTTATCAGTTTTGCATCCTTTGGGTCAAATATTTTCTTCTCTTGTCAAAACATATTTATTTATGTCTAGACCTAGAGCCTCAATAAATTTTTGTGTTTTTTTGGTTATATTTACTTTTTAACCAAAAAGCTCAACTTTATCCTCAAAAGATGTAAAAATAATTTGGTACTATAAAGATGGTTATATCTATTATATCCCAGTAGAGAATTCAGTACTTCCGGGCATGGATTAGCACAGCGTTTGACTATGTTTCCACCCCTGTGTCTGTCTACACCTCCCCCGGGCCAGCCGTACTGTTCAGGGCTGTCTGCTCCCATCACCTCTGAGGCTGGCCTCTTTCTGGAGCTCAGCACAGCCTTTACTCTAGCATTTAAGTTTACTGTCAGCTCACTCTTTAAAGAATTACTACCTGGGGTTAGACCCCTGGAGAGGTATCTGCAGACTGGCAGTTAATTCAGTGGCTAAAACATAGGATAAACAGGAAGAATCAGTCAGGCGCCACAAGTAATGTAGCTATGAATCAGCTCACCAAGGACAGCACAAAAGGGTTTAGATTTATCATTGCTGGGAGGCCTTAACTGAATTGATGAGTGATAATTTCAGAAATGGGAAGTATTACTTCCTATTTCTATATATTAGAAAGTTTAGTCTAGTACAGTATGGAGGATGGATGGATGGAACGAAGGTGGACCTAAGGTACTTGAGATAATGCAGACCTGAGCTAAGGAAGTGAGGGGTTGGTAGAAGGAAGGGATGGGTTTCAAAGACACTGAGAAGGGGAGGCAGCATGGTTTGGAGAGGGACAGGATATTAGAAAGGGACAAGGAGACAGACTCGAGATTACTTTTTAGGTTGTTTGCTGGGATAACTGAGTAGGTGGCAGTTCTTTCCTCCACAGATGAGCCACCAGAGGAACTGGTTTGGCAAGGGTAAAGAGTGAGCATCTTCTGTGGAGAACTAATTGCCTGTGGACATCTGACAGGCAATGAGATATGTGGATCAGGGCTCAAGAGGGAGGTCAGGCTGGAGAGAAGGCTGTGGGTGCGCAGCGTGTCGCTGAAGTCGCAGGCGTTGATAAACTATGTTTTCAGTCAGAGTGAAAGAGGGTCAGTGGTGCTGCCATAGAAAACATTAATAGTTAGAGGACAGGCTGAAGGAAAGTAGGCTCCTTTGATAGAAGCCCAGGGGAGGCCACTGAAGAATGTAGATAGTGATGACCATTGAGATCAAGGGTAAAGGGTTTTGAGAGTGTCGAGAAGGAAATGATGAACAGAATCTGATTTAGCAGCAAATAATGTATGGACTGAAGCAAATACGGGCACATCGATGGTGGGAAACAGTGGACTCATGGAGCCATCCATTGGCCGGCCAGCCCTCCTTCCATTGTCCCTCTTTTAATGCAGCACTTGGAGTTGAACAAGGTATTAAATAGCTTGACAACACTGCGACGGTTTTTCTGAATATGTTTTGATACTAATATTCCTTCACACTGTAGTGAGATTTTCGATGGCCTAAAGGTGTCTTTGATCTCATCCAAGTGTCATCAGTTAAACCCCAGATATTCGTTTTATGACCAGTTGTCAGGCCACATCTCCTCGGAGAGAGGGAAGGAGAGCCAGGCTGTGGAAGTAACTTCTTACACTAATCTAACATTCATAAAGCATATATTTATTTGATGTAAGTCCTGTTTGATGCATGGCTAATGGTTAAAATGATGCTTTTCAGTACAGCCGTTATGTGTACCCACTTGGCAAACTCTGTCACCCCCTTTAGAAGGCACAAAACACACAAAACATGAGCATTGGTCACTGCCTGTTCAGCGTAAATTGCTGCCTGCCATGGGCACGTAACAAGTAACAAGGCTGAACAGTATATTCAAGGCCAAATTCCTCTTCCTAAGGGATTATTTCTTCCCTGATCTATATGTGCACAAAGACATGCATAATCCCGTTATTGTGCTTCCATGGGACTTTAAAAGTAACCTTCACACCTGAGAGCTGTATGGATGCTGGATTCAAGTCAGTAGGACAGAGCACTTCGTGTGACATCTATCTCTTTATAAGTGACTTTGTTTCACAACGATTACAAGCTCATGTTTCATTGAATGTAAACCCTGAACACCAAAATTAAAGAGTATTAGTAAGGCTAAGGTAACCTCGGCCCTGCAGATTACTAGAATAATATTCAACTGGAGTCCTCCTTCAGTGTGTACACTCAGTCACTGCGACTGATTTCTGGCCTCAGAATTTGCGCACAGCTCACGCTGAGTGCAGTGGGTACTAAGTCCGTACGGACGGACGTGAGCAGCAGAATGGGATCCTGTAACTCCATCCAGAAATGCTTCGTTTCACTAAGTCAACGTGCCATCAGCTGTGAGATGCACCGTCACTTTGGCCTTACTAAGAAGGAAGAAAAACTGCTGTCAGTTGAAGTGACTCAGCGCTTCAGAGGTGTCAGATGTGGGGGGGGAATGTGCATCTTGGAATTAATGAAACGTGGTGTGCATGGGAACATAAGCAAAAATTTGGCTTAGTGTACAGAGTAGCGTATTAAAGTCCCAGTCATAGTACTTTCCATCCTTTCCACTACAGCTTTCAATTAACCCAAATCAATATTCAGTGTTGGGATAAAAGCTCCATATATAGTTGTTCTTGAATTCAGCAGTTCCCTGAAACTTGGCCAGATTTGTTCTGTACAAAAATATTCTTCATAGAATCTTCTACATCTTTTTTTTTTTAGCTATACAGGAAATTTAAATTAGTATCATTTTGGACATAATTTGGCAATATTTATTAAAGTCTTAAAGAGATTTTATTATTTGATCCTTTGATCCACGGCTGATATGTGTAGTACAAGGAAATAATACTGAATATAGAAAACCATTATACACTTAAATATTCATGGCAGCTTCATTTATTCTAGTAAAATTCAGTAGCCGCCTAAGCGCCCAACACTAGGAAATAACCACTGACTTGTTGACTCTTAAAATCACATTCGTTAAAAAAAAAAAAAAAAAAATCACATTCGTGCCCTGACTCCGGTGGTTGGAGGGTCATCCTCCTGCCCACCAAAAGGTTGTCCGTACGAGAGGCAACCAATCAACGTCTCTCTCTCTCTCTCTCTCTCAAAAAAAATAAATAAATAAATGTGTCCTCTGGTGAGGATTTAAAAAAGAAAGAAAATCGTATTTTTGGAGAGTTTGTAACATAGGTGTTTATGTGCAAAGAATAAGTGGTAGACATAGCATGTGAAGTGTGCACCTGTTAAATAGGGTGAAACATGCGTAGCAAAAAAAATTACTGAGCTATCAATGGTTGATTGAGTAGTAAGGTATGAATTTTTAAAAATGTTTTCCTACTTTCTACCTTTTCCAAATATACTAAAATAGTATATATTTATTTTAATTGAAAAAAAACTAGGTGAATTTAAAGAGATATCCAGGATTTGATTCTTGGTTGCTCTAATTTTGACAGTTTCCATACTCATTTCCTCACTCCCTTTGAACGAGTTTGGCTTTTACCTGAAGGGTTTAAGTCTCTGGTGACTCCATCTTGCCCTGGGTTTGATGTCCTTCTCCAGCCCTTAGGCTTCCCTCCATGTTGCCTTCCCAGAACCCACAACTGCATTCAGTAAAGTGTAGATGCCAAAGTCTCACCCAGGCTAAGGCACATTCTCACCCCTTGTCTGCCTGAATAGATGGATGGTAGTTCATAGCCAGAGCAATGGGGCTTGAGGCAATTGATTCTCGCTCAGATCTTCAAGAGGGTAACTTCTTCTATAGAAGGGGAATGAATTGTGTGTTTCTTGGGTATATTTTAGAATTGCATGTGTATGAGGGACATGAGATGTTGGGGAGATGGGCATACCATGTGGAGAGTCTTCAGTGCAGTCCAAGTTCACTAGCAAAAGCAAGTAGTAAGTGTAGGCATAGAACCTGCCTGGTGAAGAATCTAGGCAGAGTTCTTGAGCCTTTTCCTATGTGCCACTAATAAACCAATGTTATTGCTGACAAGTCGCCATAGCTTTTCTTGCTCATTGGCTGACACAGTAGCTGGTGATGTGCCTCCTTTTTCCTTGCTTCATCCCTGTTTGGGCTCCTTGGGTGCCTTCCACGCATTGTTTCTGCCACTGCCTGGACTCTTCTATATTATTTATCACTAATAACATCATTTCACTGAAAATACCTGTATCCTTCAATGTTCCGAAGGCTTCCGTGCTATCATTACAGAGAAAATAGTTGAGTTGCAGGAAGGGAAGTAATAAATGTGGTCCTGAGCACTCCCCAAGAGCTCTATACCATAGAGCTCAATGGTTGTAGCAAACTTCGGAAACGGTGCATATGATCGAGGCAAAAGGAGGAGCCGCCAGGAAGGTGCACAGAAGTGGGCCGTTGCATGCTCCGTTGTACGCTCAAACCCTCCGTCCTTGGGGTTGTCGGAGTTGGAGTCATTCCCCCCCGTGTTTGTGCTGTGTAACAACTTCTTTCTACCACTGCATATGTATTACTAATACAATATTCCTTTTAAAGTTTTAGCTCATTCTCTGTGGCTTATGATGATTCCAAAAGTTACAACTAAGAACATCATAGTCTTTGTTGTCTAAAATGTACCTGTGTTCTGGTTCTGTTTTATGCTTGCTTATTAACTCGAAGTTCCATGTGTGGTTTTTGTCATTTTAAGGCACTCAACCAGAATGCTGAACTGAGGAGTCGGCTGAGCAGAATACATTCAGAATCCATTATTTGTGATCAAGTTGTCAGTGTAAATATCATTCCTAGCCCTGATGAGGTAAGGCTCATTTTTAATAGATGTAGACTACTTATTTTATAGCATCTAAATCTACTGTGTATTTCTGTTTATTTTTATATTTTTGTTCCTTTGCTGTTAATAAGATTCCTGGTATAAATATTTGTGTTGCAGACCGTTCAGTGTTTTCTTTGGGGTAAAGGGTATATATGAGCTTGGTATCATTTCTTCTTGGTGATCAGGGTCTATTTTTATCTTTCCTGTGTTCACCAGATACCACTGCATATTTTAGTTTATGTATACACCAGCTTGTGAATTTTCTCTGTCTGTCTCAGTCTTCATTGGAAATGTTCATATTATGAACATTTAGCTGAGCAAATGCTAAATAAAAGTTCTCTTAAAGTTTATTTTGCAAGTCCTGCCCAGCTGGTGTGGCTCAGTGGATTGGGCGTGGGCCTGCAAACCAAAGGGTTGCCGGTTCAATTCCCAGTCAGTGCACATGCCTGGGTCGCAAGCCAGGTCAGATCCCCAGTAGGGGGCGCGCCAGAGGCAACCACACACTGATGTTTCTCTCCCTCTCTCCCATCCTTCCCCCTGTCTAAAATAAATAAATAAATAATCTAAAAAAATAAAGGTCCTACATAAGGAGTCATCTGAGCTCTCTAACTTAATAATAATGGTGGAGCTACAACTACCACTGATGATGATAATAATTAATAGCTAACGTGTGTCACATGAATGCTTATTAGGCGCTGGGTGCTGTGCTAACCCCCTTACATATAGTTATCTCATCTGACACTCCCAGCGACCCTCTGAGGTCGGTGCTATTGTTTTTCCATTTTGCAGAAGAATTTTTGAAGAAATGGTAAGAGGATAGGAGAACATTCTGTATTTGGGCTGAAGTTAAGTATATAGTTTGTTTTATAACCCTTTATAAAATTATTATTTTACCATCATGAGCATTAACACTTTTCAACAGTAATATTAGGGCTTTAATTGGAGTGCTACATATAGCAAGGTGAGAGTTTTTAGTAATACTCAGGTCATGTCTGCACCAAAAACGTGTTTTACTAGAAGCCCACAGGTACAACTGTTCTACCATCTAACTGCTTAGATCGACCGTCTAAGATCACCGGCTTCCCTGTGATTCGCGCTGCCCACCATCTGTCCGCTCCCCTGCCTGGGTCCCTTGATCTCTGATGATGGTAATGCTTACTCAGCTGCCCAGGATCTGGAAGTATTTCTAAAACTTTGTCATTCAAATATTAGTTAACGGTCTTGGGTGGAATCTTTTTTCAACCTGGAATGTGTACTAGAATGTTATATAGAATATATGCATTGCAGTTCTCTTACATATTTTTCATATTAAAACTGAAATAGCTTCCTGGAGACCTATGTTTATCACTCACTGGACAGAAAATAGAGGTTCGAAACAAGGTTTGACTGCCTTTTAGATGCTTTAGACGCATTGGAAGGAAATTTATGCGGTTGTCATTACTGAGTTGCAAGTGAGTGTTGCTTGTGGTCACAACTCTTGTAACATATGGTGTGAAATTCTCTAGAAATCTGGCTAGCACGTCGTGGTCTAATTCGAACAAATCGCTATCCTTCGCACCAATAATGACCACGCCATATGCTCATGCTTCTCTCCCCTGTAGGCTGGGGAGCAAATCCACGTCAGTCTCCCCCTGTCACAGCAAGTCACCAATGAGAGCCGCCTTTCCATGTCAGAGTCCGTCTCCGAGTTCTTTGACGCCCAGGAGGTGCTCCTCTCCGCAAGCTCGTCCGAGAATGAGGTAAGCTTCTTTGACGTGTCCACCCCAGCTGCTTCTGACTGTGAGTTGGATTTAAAGGAAGTAAGACTATGGAACTTTATAACATCAGCATCAGATAGCCAAATTGTCACGAAGCCAAAAGCATGCAAACTATGGTGGTTCCCATTTACTGAGGACCTAGCACTTCTGAACATCAACTGATAACCCTTGAATTTGATGAATAATAGGAAAAAATTAAGCATTTATTCTAATTCTCCTGTACGATTCATGTTTCAGGGTAACAAAATAGTGGATATCAGAGGTTTTTGTGGAAGGAGACAAGCTAATAAATGTAGAAAGAATGAGAGAATTTGAAAATCATCATTCATGCTTGAGGGGGCAGTGCACACTCATCAGTGTGTGTGTATTACGTAATTTGTGTGTGCGTGTGTGTGTGTGTGTGTGTGTGTGTGTGTATGTTTGCCAGAGGCAAGAATTTGAAGGATAATGTCTAGCATATCTAGTTGAGTAATTATAATTTTTAGGTTACCACTGCCTGTCATAAAAGTGTTATGGATTACTTTTCACACTCATGAGTCTTGGCAAAGTCTTGAAAACAAAGAATCTCTTATTTGGTCAGGTTGCAGAAATGTATGAAATTTACTGAAATTCAGTCAAAAAAAAGTAGGCTTTTTTTTTTCAAATGGAAGAAGCCACCAAAGCTCTTTCCCACACAGTTGATTAGGAATTTTGTCATTTGAGATTGTAAATCTGTACTGCATTTTGACAAAAAGGAAACAAATTTGTCGCTAAATGTTATTTTTATATGCACAGAAAATAGGTTGGAAGGAAACATCCTGACAGTCGGTGTAGTTGTTTCTGGATGTTTAGAATTATAAGTGATTTTAGAAACATAAGCGGAAAAGAGAGAGAAATAATAAACACATATGTCACCTGTCTAATAGAGGAAAGGTAAAATAGAATTCCAATATCAGGCACTAAACTTGTTACCAAGCCATGCACCTGACTCTCAAATCCCTAGTCATGCATTAACAGAGTCACAGGCTCCCATTCACAAGCCAGAGTACTCGTTTAATTATTCATAATGATAATTGATGCTATCAGATAGACAAAATAATCATGCTTGGTAATTAGTGTCTCTTTCCCTGAAGGCAAACCTGCACGGGAAGCCTAATTGTAGTCAGGAGGTGGTTTGGCGAGCAAGGAAAGAATGGGAGCAGGAGAAGTGAGCTGAGGTAACTCGCGGCCAGGATATGATAGCTTCAGCCTTTCGTCTCCACTGTCAGATGCTCTGCCCCTCGGGTGGGGTGTCTGTGAGCCAGTCTCTGCACCCCGTGACCCCCGTGCTGGAGACGTGCTCCCAGCATTTCCTTTTCTGACTCCTCCTTTTCTGAGCTCCCATTGCTGACCAGTCCTTCACCCTTCTTCAGTCAGGTTACCGTCAAACTTGATTCTGCATTATCTGGGCTCTGACCCACCATGTGGTGGCTATAGCTCATCTCTTAGAAAGCGACCTTATTTTCATTTCCAAGTTCTGGGGCATACCCACCTGGGAGTCCAGTTGCCACTTGCACCAGACACCGGCAATGGCAATGCAGACATGAAGAGGACATGGAGCAGGTTATTGCACAAATCCAAGCATTTTGGTGGTGCCACCCCCAGAGGAAGAGTAAACCTAATGGCCGAGGGAGGGACAGAGAAGTAGAGGAGAGATGGGCATGGAGATGATGTGTTCACGTTGAGACATCATGAGTTTACCAGATTTCTCAGTGGCGTTATCTGGCCAGCAGATGGCTGTCCAGGCCTAAAGCTCAGAGAGCAGTTGTGAAGAGAGAGCAAGAGTGGGCCCAGGACCCACATAACCAAATGGCGGAGAGACATTGCCACCTGGGTGCTGTACAGAACCTCTAATTCAGCGTGTCGAAAAAGATGCACCAATAAACCCTTTACACATGCATGCACACACCAAAGAGAAACACAAATGTACCCAGACTTCTATATCTTATCTAAGTGCTCTTCTCCCCCAGTGTTCACATCACATACCTGGGTATTCTGCTTCACTCCTCTGCCTACACTGAGTCATCATCAGGTTCTGTAACTTGTCCGCTACATCCTCTCAGAGACAGTTTCCTACAGCCGCACTGCCACTGCTCCGATTCAGCCCTCCCTCATCTCCCCGAGTAGATTGCCCTGTCAATCCCCTAACCAGTTTCCTACCTCCCTTCTTGCCCCTCTAATCCATTTTTCACTGGGCAGCATGGTTAATCTTTCTAAAATGCAAATCTGAGCATGTTCCTAGTCCCCAGTGTCCTTAGAGTAACAATCTAAACCCCTTAGCTGTCATACAAAGTCCCATCCACACAGATCTCCGCCCTCAGCGGCAGCCTCCCGCAACCTCTGTGCTTGCAGAGGCCTCCAGCGGCCAAAGCAGTGATTCCTGGTGTTGTTAATTCTCCGGGTCCTCCAACTACACTGGAAAAAACTGCACCCTCACCTCTCCCCTGTGCCCATATCTTGCAGGTTTTTGTAAAATAGCACTTTACTTACAACTTCTCCCTTTACCACACCACTCAGTCTTAAGTGTCCGAAGAGGCTAGACCAGGGGGTAAACCCCAGGGACAGGCACCATGATGGTCTCATGATGATCCCTCCCTTGGGCCAAGGCTGTGACTGAGTCAACCCTGCCTGCCGAGTCTCTGGGTTCCCTTGTGATGAGATCCCCATAGCGGGCTCCTCAAGTCTTCACACCAGCAGGCTTAGCAAGCCCACCTGGCTGGCTAGCTTCCAGGTGGGACTCCTAGCAGCAGCTGCAGGTTAGGACCAAGCTGCGTGTTCTCAGTACAGCTGCCAAAGGAGGTCAGGCCTCTGTGCTGGCCTCCCACCCCGGCTGAAATGTCTCCCAGAGAGCCACGTGTTCAAATCCCTTACTCACTTCAGTCCTGTGCTCAAAAGTCGCTGTCAGAGGAGCCCATCCAGCTGCTCTCCCTGCAGTTCAAAGCCACCATTTCTTCCTCTCCCTGACCTTCCACGTCCCTCTTGCCTTATTTTGTTTCCTTAAGGCTTACTGCTGTTTAACAAAATGTGCATTTCGGATATTTCACATGGTTGCTGAGTGCACTCGCCTGCCCCCCTGCACTGAAATGTAACTTTCACGAGCAGCAGGTTTCCCCACTGGGCCCCCAGCCCTAGAGCAGTCTGGTGAGCCCAGAGCAGGTAGTGCACAAGCATTTGCTAACTGAATGAAGAAACACTTCAAGCGCCCTAACACATGATTAACCTGGGGAGCATCTGACCATTGGCTGTATTACACTGACGTTTTCCATGGCTGAGAGAGAAATTTATGTGCTGTCTTACCTCACTTAATGAACGTTGGACTTCTTTTCTTTAAAAATGCTCTTGATTCCAGAAGGATCTACTCCTTGCCTCTGCTTTTACTGAGTTTGGCAATGCTACATGCCTGGTTGCATTTAGAAAGAGAGATTTCCTGAACTCTTTTGAATCTTTAAGCCCCTAAAGGGAAATATTTGGCCCCAGGAATTTTTTTACCATGGGGAAGGAAATGAGTATGTATTTACAGTTCTATTATAATACTGCAAAGTCTTGACTTGATAGATAGGTAGATAGATTAATGGATAGAGAGAGAGAGAGAGAATGTGAGTGGACCAGACTGCCACCAGCCTGAGCTACTGCTCACATATGTCGTGGCATAGATCTTAACTGGGGACCCACTGTCGTGGTAGAATTCTTTTATAGTCTACATGGACCATTCTTCATTGATGTGGATATTGGACCATCTCCATCACTTATTAGTTTTAGGGAGATTAGAAATTGAAGAGGAATAGAGTCTTTGTAGCTTTTTGTGAGAAAAACATGTTTTCTCAACAAACACCCGACCAGTAAACGTGTGTGCAGCATGAATTTGGTTTGGGCAGTCTCCTCTTACATAATTGTGTGCCATTAGCCTTTTTTCAGAGAAACCACGGGGAAGAATTTCATTTACTGTTTTTCTATCTGGCGTAAGAAGGCGGTTTTCATGGGCCTGGTGGTGGAAGTTTCATCTCTGTTGCCATCAGGGGGAACGGAGCTGAAGCCAGCCACGGTGGGAAACTGCGAATCGAAGACTGCATTCTCAGTAGTCTGTCTTTATAGACTTGCCCAGTGTGCAGAGGCAAAAACACAGTTACCCGTCTGCGCATGCAGTTATTCTGTCCATTGCTCTGTTCTTCCTCAGTGGGGAGCTTTTCCCAACCCTAATTTATTTTAAAATATCAGCAATAAATCCAGAAAGCTGAAGGGTGAAGACTTACTGTTTTTATTATATACAAATTTAAAGCTTTTATGTGGCAAAACAGATTGGCACAGATAATGTTAAAAAGTAAATTGCCAACTAATAAAAAAAAGTGCAAGCTATATGACAAACTGGAAAATGTGTGAAATATAAGAAAAATTAACAAAAGGTGAAATTCAGACTTTAAAAAGAGATCTTTTATTTATGATAGGTAGATGGGTGCTAAAGAGGTTGCTGATGTCTGCTGTCACCCTGGGTGTGCAGAGAGGGACACTCTCACGCACAGCTGGTGGGGACAAATGCATTCAGTCTTTCAGGAGAGCGATTTGGGACATAGGGCTAAAGCCTAAAGTGACCCATTTGACCCAGCAAGTTCACCTCCAGAAATAATAACTGTTCAAGAAATTGCATGACAGACTCACAGAAGTGCATTACACGGGTGTTCGTCCAGGTGTTGTCTATAGTAGTGAAAATGCGGAAGCAGCTTAAATGCAGCTTCAGCTCCTCCAGTCATAACTATCTAATGAGGTACATTGTTGTGCCAAGTAAAGATGCTGGGCTATATTTACTAGAATATATTCAGAGCATTATCAAATAGTATGTAAACTCACCCTTTTTTCGTGTATCAATATGTTTGTATGGGCATTTTGAAATCGGAGGTAACACTCGCCAAATGTTAAAAGTGGTTGTTTTTAGGTGCTGGGGTAATGGATGATTTTCATAAAATCTGTTTACTCTCATGTAACTTCTAATTGTTTACAATAAGAATGTTTTTCTGCGTCAGCACCCCTCTCTCCCCAGCTCACCCCCGCACTTTCATAATCGTTCCCCTCACCATTGTCCATGTCCATCTTCATTCAAAAGAACAAATACAGAAATGTACTATTTTGGATGAAACTCAAGCTCCTTGCTAAGTGGTCGTTTCGGGTGATGCAGGACCTGGGTCTGCTTCTGTGGCTTCTGCAGCTCACTCTGAGTAGTGCAGTGATTACCAGCTGATTAAAAACACATAACTGGAAAACCTTTGTCTCCACGGGAGAGTCTGGGCCGTGGTGCTGGTCCCCCGGACACCACTTTCTCTCACAGGATCCGTTGCTCGTACCCCAGGAGGGGCCCCATGTGTGTGGAGCTGTGATGTGTGATGTGTGTGTTGTGCTTATGAAATGCTTACATGTAAGATTAGAAGATGCCCAGGGTGTGCAAGAAACAAATCTTCTCAAAAATAGGCATGTAAACCAACAAAAAGAAAATCAATACTTTATTTAATATTTATAATTTTAAAAAATCAACCCATGACTATAATGCATAAAAATTCTAAATGTTATTTTTGTATTGTTTATTCTATTTTAGTTGTCCCAATTTTTTCCCTTTGTCCCCCTCCCCCCAGCCCACCTTGAATGTAAGCTGATATAAGAGGAAACAATGGTTTTGAAAGGATAGAGGGAGGAGAAATAGTAGGAACAAGGGGTTGAAAGGGGGGAAATAAAATTTAAAGTGAAAATAAGAAAGGGCAGGAAGAAGGCAAAATGAGAGTAAGATAAGAGAAGGAGGTCATGTGAGATTTAAAATAAAAATACAATTAAAAATATAAATAAAAGACAAAATTGTGAATTAGTAGGAATGCAATTGAAGAAAAAGAGAAATGTCAAAAGGCTATGCAAGAGAAAAAATCACACAAATTCTGAAGAAGAAAGAGGTGGAATTCCTCTCAGCAGAGTTTGGTGTTTGCCTTCTGTCTTCTCCTTGGGCCACCCAAGTTCTGGCAGCACCTGCCTCCCCCTGCCTCTAGGGGGGGCTTCTGTTGTGATCAGGAGGGTGGGACCCCTGTGTCTCCCCTGGGAGACACCGTCAGTCTTCTGGGAAAATTGTGTGTGCGTTCCCCTGCCCTTGCACCACCCACGTTGGTTTGTCCCAGCTTGTTCCCAATAATGCGCCGTTTCTCCTGAGCCTGCCGTCTGTTTTAAGGGAGGAACCAGTCATGTAAGAGGGTCAGCTCTTTCCTGCGTGAGGCTGATGGCAGCTCTGTGTGCGAGCCAAGGCTGAGCCCTCATTCCCCCTCGCTGCACCGATTTCTGATCTCCCCGCCTTGCTGCCTCCGTGGGATGGGGCCCTAGGAACCAGTGTATTTTGTCTCCCTGAGAGAAGGACTGAGAATGTTTGGTTTTACATGCAGCAAAAATACAGCACTGTTTCCATTTTGAAGAAAGTAAATAAGTAGCATCAGCTTTCCTGCCTGCAGTGCTTCCCCCATTCCGCTGAATGTCCTCCTTCATTTCCTTATCTGCTGCATTTCTGATTCCCCTGAACATATATATTGCCCCTTAATTTTTTTTCTCATGCAAAATTTGGTTTAATTTTTAGTGTCATTTTTCTCATGTAGAGTGGCTTCATTCTTGACTTCTTGTCTCTGAATCTTCCTCCCCCACTGCTAAATATTTGACAGATTTTATTCATTATGCTTCAGACGTGGCTCCCAGAGCAGCCTTATCTCCAGGCCCTCCTGGTGGCTGTTAGTCTAAGCTGTTCGTAGCTTTCCAGAATCTATTCAGTGTCCTGCTCTCTGGCCTCCTTAGAGAAAGCTGTTGCGTTTCTTCCTGAAACTAAATATGACTCTCTTATTCCCTTGCATTGAATAACTCATAAGACTATATGTGAACCTTTGTGATGACATGAGAAGCCCTTCCCAGTTGGACCCTCTTCTTGTTTTACCCCATCCCAGCCACTCAACTTCTTTGCATACCTACAATAAATGTTTCTCCTGTGGTCCTTGCCTTAACCACACTCTCTCTTCTTCCTGTGCTTTGCCCCCTTCAGGCAACTCATCCAACTTCAAACACTGTTTCCTCTGCGCAACCTCTTCTGATTCCTCTAGGGAGAGCCACAGGGCCTGCTCTTTTGTACATTCTTTCTGCATTGTACTGAAACAGTTCCAACCTGCCACCCCACCTATGACAGGGAGCTACTTATGTTGAACAGTTCTGTATTCTGGCTCACGGAAGACCCTCAGGTGTTCATGGCACAGGTGTCAGATGCATTGCCCACTATGACCTCTGCTGTTCATTTGAGCAACGTCTTGTGTTTACTCAATTTTCTGAACTTTAAATGTGGAATAAGAATTGTGATCCTTTCTATGTTCTTTCCTTCCTTAGGCCTCAGACGATGAGTCTTACATCAGTGATGTGAGTGATAATATCTCTGAAGACAACACCAGTGTTGCAGACAACATTTCTCGGCAAAGTACGCATCCCTGGAGCTTCCAGGCTGTTCTCTCTCCATGGCACATGACAAAGCTGGTGTTTCAGCGAACAATCACTTCCCCCCTTCCTCTTGCAGCTGATCAGTAGATTTTGTATTTGTATAATCTGTTGAAGTAAATGCTTGTGAAAGGTTTTATTTCTTGCTTAAACCAAAAGTTTGTGTCCTTATTGAAATATTTAATTTTTAAAATATGACTTGTGTTTTCTTTTCTTCTTTTTTTTTTTTTTGCTTCCTCCCCAAACTCATTTTGTTTTTTCTTGGATTTTTTAGTATATTTAACACCCTGTTTAAAAAACTATACACTAGTATTTTGTGCATTTAATAGCAACCTTGTAATGAAATAATTCTACCCATTCTTAAGGGAGTATAACAAAGGTTGAAGAAATGCACCACAGTCAGAATTATTTGAAAGGGTAATTTCTCTCCTGGGTTTTACGAATTCAGAGAAGCAAAGTACCTTTCATTGTGATCCTCGTCTTTCTGCTGCTTTCAGTCTTGAATGGGGAGCTTACAGGAGGGGCCTTCCGAAATGGACGTCGGACGTGCCTGCCAGCTCCCTGTCCTGACACCAGTAACATTAACCTGTGGAATATCTTGAGGAACAACATTGGTAAAGACCTATCTAAAGTCTCTATGCCTGTGGAGCTGAACGAGCCACTCAACACTCTGCAGCATCTCTGCGAGGAGATGGAGTACAGTGAGCTGCTGGACAAGGCTTCGGAAACCGATGATCCCTACGAGCGCATGGTAATACATAACAGAGCAGTGCTCTGCGGGGATTTGTCAACCCTAGGCCCGAGCTAAGGCAGAATTCATTATGATGGCACAGTTGGTCTTTGCATTAACATTTTCCCTGCATAGGTAAGGGAGAAATTGGTCCTTTTGAATAAAGTCCACTAGAAAATGCACGCTTTAGGACTTGTGCTTGGTTCAGAGTGTTTCTGCAGTTAGGATGCAAAGGTATCACTCTTCTTAGAGGTTGAAGACATGCCTAGCCTTGCTTTATTAACTTTTCCTGATGGCTAAGAGAGCCCATTTGCTCAGGAACTTAGGTATGACAGTGTGACCTCTGGGTTGTGCTCTGCCCTGGCCTGTATTCCACATGACTGTCGAAAACTTGACTTTCCCTCAGGAAAGCACCAGCAGCCACGACCCTTCTGCACACGGCACTAAGATTGTGCAAACGACATAACCTATAACTGGGTTTCAGAAACTTTTAACTTGTGATACTCAGGAAATTGAGTGGGTAAATGAATGAAAAATAGTTGGCCTCAATTGCCTGCTGGTTTCCGTGAGAGTGGTTTAACCTCATTTTCACTTACCTTTATCCCCCATGAGTTTGTGAAGAGTCTCTGCAAATAACAGAAAATGCCAGTACCACTCAGTCAGCCCCCCTTGCCAGGGACATGTAAAATCTAGGGGAACGGGATGAACAGATCTGGAAGTAGTCTCTCCTATATTATTTTCCTTTCTCAAATATTTTAACAGGTTCTTATTGCTGCATTTGCAGTTTCAGGATATTGCTCCACCTATTTCAGAGCAGGAAGTAAGCCATTCAACCCTGTCCTTGGGGAAACTTATGAATGCATTAGAGAGGACAAGGGGTTCCGCTTTTTCTCAGAGCAGGTAAGCCCCGCTGCACTCGGTGAGGTTTCTGTGCAGGCACCTGGGCCATCTTCATGATGAAAAGAGATTTGTAAAACTCTCTTTGGGGCAGGTCATGATACCAGTAACCAACAACTCAGTTTATGTATATAATTGCCCCCTACAAATATACCTAAGTTCTCTGTGTTTAACCATGAAGTCTTACAAGTTAAAGATTCATTAATCTCCTTGTACATGTTGAGAATAATTCACTAATAGAGATGGATGTGCTGAATGCTTTTTATTTGGTGGTAGCCAGTATAAGTTGTTTATTGTTTATTGAAATTTTAACACTGATGTCATTGCTTTCTATTCTGTCTTTAATTACCAGGTTAGCCATCATCCACCCATTTCTGCCTGTCACTGTGAATCCAAGAATTTTGTGTTTTGGCAAGGTTTGTTTTTCAATTACAACCTAAAAATCCAGTGGATTATCTTATGAAACAGTTTCTAGTTTCCAAAAGTGCATTGTACTCAGTTTACATTTCCGCCTTTGGAACTTAGAGAATGTTTGTGATTGGTGCAGAGTTCAGTTTGATAAATTAGGTTTTCTGGTTTAAATATTAAACCATGTTATCTAAAAGGAAAGAGATGGTTTAGGAAGAAGGCCCTGTGGAACAGCAGGGCTCCCTGCTGACTGTGCCTACTCGGGGCTATCACTCCGCCTCATTGTGCCTCCTTGTCCATATCTATAACATGGAGATTTTATCTGCTGCCCTCTTGCTTCCCGAGGGTGTGCAAGTACCTGTACTGCTAAAGGAAGGCTCCACAGCACATCATCCATGGTCACATCTATTAAATATATAAATATTTCAGTGGTTTCTGGTCTTTAATTCATTGAGGGGTTTGGATTGAAGTTTGTTTTATAAATGCCCATTGTTCAGTCAGAGTGTTACAAACTTGCCTAAAATAAAATGTTTCCAAATTCCCTTAGAAAGCATATGTAATATTAAGTATGAATAGTTTCTCTACATCTGGAAGGCTGCTTCATTCTCACATATACTTCCTCAACCTGAAAACAGAGTGATAGAGCACCATAACTGCAGTTTATTACAAAATGAGGAAATAAATCATGTCTTGGTCAGACACTTTGTGGAGGCAACAAACACTAAGCTCCCTTAGTTCGTTAAAATGGGTCCAGGTGTTTTTTTATGAATGCACAGGTAACCCAGGATTCCACGAGGAAAGCACAGGTGAGGTGGAGCGCCGGGCCTGGCCGCCTCTGCACCATTGATGCACCTGTTCGTTAAGTCCATCTCACCTCCTCGTAGTCTTGCCTATTTGTATTTGGAGAGTTTATTTTTGTACTGTTCTCCCAAATTATACAGCTATTTAAATAAATGTACATATAAATCCACAGTGCAATTATTTTTGCTATACAACTCATTTATATATAAACCATTTTCACTATCTAGCTAAAATGTATAACATTTACCGAGACATTAAAGCGTAGTATAGTATACAGGGGTTGGCAAAAGTAGGTTAAATTACCAACCACCATTACCTAAAAGATAAGGCATAAGCAAGGCTATGAAATAGTATCAATAAGAAGAAGACAAATGATATGGGTAAATAATGCAAGAATAAACTGTGTTTTGCACAGCTATAAGCCTACTTTTGCCCACCCTGGTGTGTGTGTGTTCACGTGCACACGTGTTATTCCCGGCTGCTCCCGAGTCTTGTTAGTTGACAACAACCTGTGCTATGCAAACATACAAATAGTAGCTTTTTTTGGTTCACAGTTTATCTTTTCACTTTTGGCCATCCTCAGGAACCTTCCATGTTAAATCAACAATGTAGAATCAGTTGTAATGACAAAGTTCTTTGTCAAATGTGAAGTGTAATGTAAATGTTAGTTTTTACGGAACAAATCGTTAGCTGTGGTGTGCCTATTTCTTTTCCGCTGCCTGTGCCATTTAGATATCAGATGGAAAAACAAGTTCTGGGGGAAGTCGATGGAAATCCTGCCTGTGGGAACACTGAATGTCATGCTTCCAAAGTAGGTTTCTCTCTTCATCCTCTTGGACTCTTAACTGCCTTTCAAAATCAGAAATCGGCCCTGGCTGGCGTAGCTCAGTGGATTGAGTGCGGGCCTGCAAACCAAAGGACTGTGGTTTGATTCCTAGTCAGGGCACATGCCTGGGTTGCAGGCCAGTTCCCAGCAGGAGAGGCAACCATATATTGATATTTCTCTCCTTTCCTTCCCTTCCCCTCTAAAGATAAATAAATAAAATATTTTAATAAATAAAATCAGAAATGGGCATTTGAAACCTTAACAGGGGTGCCCAACCTTTTGACATCTCTGGGCCACACTGGAAAAAGAAGAGTTGTCTTGGGTCACACATTAAATACACAAACACTAATGAAAACTGATGAGCAAAAATAGGGTTTTAAGTACATTTACAATGCTGTGTTGGGCCTCATTCGTGGCCAGCCTGGGCTGCATGTGGCCCGCGGGCAGCGGGTTGGACACCCCTGGTAGGAGGTACTGAGGGTCTGTTTCCCTATCAACTTTTCAGAGATGCTGAGAATGTTCTCCCACAAAAGCAAATGAGAACTTCAGCATATGTATTAACACTGACTGTTGATCTGTTCACATCCTCCATTCATCAGTCAACACCAGCTGCCCACCCGTCCCAGTCACCGCGTCAGTTTGCATTTTATATGAATGATTCTTTTTTACCCATTTTTTCTATACAATTTATAATTTTACTTTGAGTTAATCTGAGATCCAGGGACTATTTTTAATTTCTAAGTTATGGCTGTTTTCAAATTAATTGAGGCCAAAGGCTTGATTAGTTTTGTTTCTTCCTTCCTTTGGTTGGTTTGGTCTGGTTTGGTGTTTGTCTATTTGAATGACAGAATTTGCTGATGGATTGGATGTGGAAGAAGGTGGGGAGGGAGAGGAATTCCCAGAACCACAAAATAAACTATCAATACTTGCAGACTCATGAGGAAGAAAGAATTTTCCCAGTGGTATATATAGTGCCTATATCGTACCAATTCATAATCATTTTAGAAATTTAGAAGCATTTTTTTTTGAAGTAACATTTTCTTTGAAAATGGGCAAAACATGTAAATATGATTTAAAGCTATGCTGTCTCGTTTCTTGGCAGGAATTCTGTAACCACACTCCCTGGAATTTGCATGGCATATGTACTGCCTTAGTTATGCACGTCAGTCTTTTCCCAAAGAATTGTCCACAACTTTGGCGTTAACTTAGAAAATGAAACAGCCCAGGCTAGTGCGACTCGGTTGGAGCATCATCTTGTAATGGGAAGGCTGTGGGTTCGATTCCCAGTCAGGGCACATACCTAGGTTGCAGGTTTGATTCTTGGTCCAGGTGCATACAGCGAGGCAACCAATGGATGCTTCTCACTCTTTCTTCCTCTTTCTCTAAAAGCAATTTTAAAAAAGTCCTTGGATAAGGATTTAAAAAAAAAAGAAAATGAAACAATGTCCTCAGAGTAATTTCTCTTAAATGCATGCCCCATCTGCCTCTCTGTTCCCTGGAATCCTTCCACAAAGGCCCCTGCCTGCAGGGTGAACCCAGGTGCACTGGTGTGTCTCCAGGGCTTCCCTGCTCTGCCCCATCACACCTTTCCACCTCGCCTCCTGCCACACCCACACGCCTGGAGCACGCCACCCCCAGGTCCCCAGGTGTGCCCTGCTCTCTTGGCTTCTGGTGCTTCTCCCCACCCTCCTCTAGCAACTCTGTCATGGCCCTCAACCCACACTGCAGGCAGGACCCCCTTCCAGGTTCCCACGATGCTCCCTCATCCTGTTTTAGTGTAAGTATTTGTTGCCAAGTCCGTCAACCCCTATCACAGTGTTGGCTCCAGGAGAGCAAGAAATAAACCCTATTCAACTTCATAGCTTTAGCACCTAGCCCATAAAAAGCACTGGCTTCTCCCTTATATCACTGAATCATGTCATAAATGTCCTTGAGCCCAGAGAAACTTTCAACAAAGAAATGAGAGGGAAATGAAGGAAAAGGAAGCTTTGGCCAAAGAACACTTTCTTTAGTGGAAATAGCAGTATCCATGTGTGGTTTGCACTGTTTCTAACCGGCATCGTGTCCCCCGAGGCATGGAGATTGCTACGTGTGGAACAAAGTCACCACCTGCATACACAACATTCTCAGTGGAAGGAGGTGGATAGAACATTATGGAGAAGTGACCATCAGAAATACCAAAAGCAGTGTTTGCATTTGCAAACTCACATTTGTCAAGGTAAGTAATATCTACAATAGTAAAGAAAAAGTACCATAATGTGCTTCCTCTGAGGAAGAGATAAAACAGTTACCTTAAACAGCCTCAAGTAAGTCTATCCCGAATTTCTGACACACAGGAACACGTTAGATAGGAAGGCAGACCAACCTGATGGCGTTACTCAGGACCTACAGGCTTCCGAATGTGTGGAAGTCATGAAAGGCACCATCTCAACACAGAAAAAAAGAATTCTCCTTAAAGAATTTCTTTTTAAGCAACCCATCCGTAGTTCATTAAGTGAAATTCCAGAAAACACTTCTTGCCTGTGGCAAGTCTTATTCATAGTCCTCTGTCTATTCCCGCTTGATTACAACATAATTTGAGTGATCTATTTTAGGGACCTCATTATAATGCAGTTGCCTCTTTCTGAGGACGTAAATGATAGCGTCCAGTCACTGCAAGCCTACCCAACTCTGGCTATAATCCAAATTACTTCAAGAAATAACATTACCTTTACCCACAAGAAGAGATGTCTGGGAGAGACGTGCCTACAGAGCACCGTTTTCCCCAAGTCTCTGCTCAGATGTGGAGCACGCAGGACCGCCGTGTGTGTGTGTGTGTGTGTGTGTCTGTGTGTGTGTGTGTAAGGTGTTGCAGAGTTCGTGGTCCAGGAACCCCACCCACCCTCTCCACCTCCTCTAGTGCTGGTCTCATTCTAATGTGCTAGAAATAGGTACCATAACACTCAAATATTGGAATCTTAACATTCAAAATTTCCTCTCTTGGTCATGTTCATTTTAATTGAACATATGTATTTTAGCTGAAAATGTTTTTCTTTTTTCCCTTTTTTAAAAAAATAGATTCATTAGGTGGCTCAGAATGAAGAGCCAGGATCATTGCTTGCTCTGAGTGATGATGGCGAATGTATGTGTTTAGTTTTGTAGGCTTTGAGAAACTTTGACATAGGTCTGCCCCGATAGATGCAGAACTTGGAGCAAGAATCCAAAGGAAAGTCCCTATTTTTTTTTTTTACCATGACAAATACATACCTTTTATATCAAAGCCTGCAAGGCCAGGTCGGACACTCTGGAACTTGGGCTGGAACCCGGGCAGTGCAGGAGAGCCCGCCCTGGCCTTGCACCTTCCCCGCTGGCTGCCCACCTGCAGCTCTGTCCCGCCCTGCAAGGGGCCTCACGCTCCCAGACACAGTCCAGCCCCACTGCCAAGCTCTGCCCCTACCCCCCTCAAAAAGCCACCTCAGGCCTAGAGGTTCCCACACTGGTGGGTGGCCTGCCCTTCTGTGAATGAATCCAAAGAAAAGGCTTGTGCCGGCCGTGGAATAAGCTTAGAGCCCCCTGGACAAAACACGGTAGGCCCTGCACACTTGGGGCCTGGTCTGGAATGGGGGCCCTGGGATCCAGCTGGGCAAATTCCCACGGGCTCCTCACGTTTGGGTGAAGAGTGTGGCTGGGAGAAGGCAGAGCAGGGTCCTCATGATAAAATGTAGCCATTTACAGAGACTGCGGAACGTTTTTCACAAACTACTTCCGTAGCACTGCGGTTGAAAATTATTAAAGATCCATGAGCAAAAGGAAAATTCAAGATAGGAGGATCTGAGGAAGAAATTACTGACATATAAAATAATTTTCAGTTGGGATAGAAAGGAAGACTTTCTATATTATGCCACCTTGTGATCTCATGGAATACAGCTCATTTCTTAAAAGTTAAGAAAGCTGCCCTTGCACACAGTGCATTATGACACAGAGTTTGGGAAATGGTTCGAATAAGAAACTTCACAAGAAAATTTTCCATGTGGAGATTCTAGGGATTGGTGTTCTTTAAGAGACCAGGTGCTTTAACTGGGGTTCGGTTTTTCCAGGTGAATTACTGGAATTCTAATGTGAATGAAGTCCAGGGCATTGTGATGGATCAGGAGGGGAAGGCAGTGCACCGGCTGTTCGGGAAGTGGCACGAAGGGCTCTACTGCGGCGTGGCCCCCTCTGCAAAGTGCATCTGGAGACCAGGTGAGACCCGCCCCAGCGTCCTGCCTCGGGAGGCCCCCATGCGTGGGCCGCCAGGGAGGGAGCGTCAGATCATCGGGGGGGGGGGTCCGCCTTGTGTTGTCTTCAGTAGTGAGATGGACACCCTAGATGCTGCGGCAGTTGTCAGTATGTGTACACTTGACGTGTAAATTATTGCCCCAATATTTCATAATAAGTTATAAAGTTCAGGCCCAATCTAACCCCTGGGCTTCATGTAAAAATCACTCCAAATGCCTGCATTTCGGTGCCTACATTTCCAAAGCTAGGTGCAGTCACCAAAGAGTGTAGTTAATTGAAATACACAAACTCAGATCCTTACTCATGTTATTTATCGTCTGTTAGTAAAACAAAGGAAAGCCTGTAAACATCTATAATCCACAAATTCAGCAACTAAGCAGAGTTAAGTGATCACTTCATCTGAACGGCAAAAAGCTGTAATACATTGACATTTTATAAAACACACCAAGGAGATTCTGATGATACACTAGCATGTAATTGAATGTCAAGTATAAACAGAACAAGTCTCCATATGCCATTTATTTTCATTGGAATTTTGTCAGTTAAGCCCTAACTTTAAAATTAGTTGTTAGTTTCTTAAGGGACCTCAGTGTGCATTTAAGTTTCCAGCTAGTTGAGTGGTTAGTATTTATGGAGGACTGGCTACCTGTCAGGCTTTGCTCCGGGAGCTTGAATATATTCAAGAGCAAAGTATGCAAAGTTTCTGCCTTTGAGTTTAGTTAAAAAGGGCCGATAAATATTAATTTAGATCTGTATCTTTTTCTATTCCAAAAGGAAATGAAGTGTTCCTGGTGAAATCTTAATGTTCATAGCTCATCACCCTGGCATTTACCTACCTAACTGAATATTTAAGAGAAAGGTGGTATAGTTTAGCCAGCGAAGACTGCTCTCTGTTCAAAACTTCATTTTAAAGGCTAGATTTTATTAAATACGTGAGTCTCTCAGTTCTGATCATCAGCCTAAAGTTTCCCACCTAGCAAAATAAAAACAATTGAAATCAATTGAAAAAACATATTACCTAATGTTTACGACTACAGATTTGCTGATAGTCTGGGCATTCGTTAAACACCAGGGTTAAGTCGGTTTCTGCAAATGTTTGAAACCTCTTTGCCTCTCACAGTGGTTTGCTGGCCTCATTCCAGGTTCCTTGCCAACCAACTATGAGCTCTACTATGGCTTCACAAGGTTTGCCATTGAGCTCAATGAGTTGGATCCTGTACTGAAAGACCTCCTGCCACCCACAGACGCCCGGTTCCGGCCTGATCAGAGGTGAGCATCGCAGCGGCATTTGCAGTGGACACTACACATGTCATTGAGACGTATTTTCACTACATGAATTAATTAATTAATTAACTAATTGGTTATATATGTATTTATTTCTATTTATTGAATCATGCATCCATTCTTTTATTCACTCAGAAACATTTGTTTTCTTACCCTGGGTAAAACAGTGTTGTCATAGGTTGGTTAGAACAGGGGATTAGCTCAACAAAAAATTTTCCGACAAAAGATGACCAGATTTATTTTTAAGTTTCCCCTCTCACCCCTAAACTTACCAAAGGTCTGCAAATTCATGAATGCTGTCTCGACTAAATACAGAATCACTCCTCACCCAGTGTTTGTGCTTGCTTAATTCTACCCCTCTGAAGCACGGAATAGCGTTTAAAGTGGAGAATGAGACATAGCGAGTCACGGAGACAGGGACTTACTATAAGAACGCTTTTAGTCACAGACTGGGGTTTGCCCCGTGGTGCGGGTCCCACAGGCTGTGGGCTGTGCTCAGAATACAGTGCCCTTAATACCTTCTGGTTCTTACTTTTTTATTATTTTAATGGAGCTCTGTACTTGTGTTGCTCATTCCTACAGAATTCATTTTACTTTATAAAAACCTTTATATGCCATACAAATTCCGTGCGAGATCTTTTCCTGTTTCCAGTGTGCCCGTGGCTTTTCCCGTCCCCTGCCAGAACATTCCAGTGTTGAACATTCTGCTGTTCAGTTCCCTTAGATCCCCCTCTCTCTGGAACACACGGCCTCACTGTCTAACAGTCACGTGTATCAATAAGTTCCCTGTACCATGTGCATCAGGTTGTACGCCTGTGCCCTGCCCTCATTTTGAAATTGAAATATTTGCAAGACACCATTGGGTCTGCTTTTTCTTTCTCAATCCTATTTCCATATTTCCTTTCTGAATTTCATTTACCCTTCATTTCCCTTCTGTGGCCTTTCGTAGTTTTCTCCTGTTAACTTTTTTAAATCAATTTTTCTCTCTCCAATAAAACAAGAAAACGTCTTCCCTCTCAGTCTGTTCTAAAGGGAAATGGAGAGCAGCCAGTGACCATCCTCCATTCTGTGGCCCTTAGCAAGTGCTTTTTGATCAGATGGACAGGGAGCATAGCCTGGGACTTCACGTTCTTCTAATCCCGGACTCCGGTCGTCCTCAAGATGTCCATTTGTAGAGCCCTGGACAGCACACAGCGGGGGAGGGTGCGGGTGGAGGTGGAAGAGGATCTGGGGGAATAAACGGCGATAGAAATAAATTATTGAAGGAAGGAAGGAAGGAAGTCATCCAGGCCACGCCACTCACCTTGCACGTCTACCATCGCGTGCGCTGATTCAGTTCACATACACACAGAAGTGCTCGCCGCTGGCACACAGCGGTGGTGAGTCCCCGTGCGGGGAATTCTCAGCATGTTGCTGTTCACTACGCTATGTCCACAGCAACCAGAATGGACTGTTATGTAAATCATTTTTAATCAGAAAAGAGGGTGGTACGGTAAAAGATTAACTGCTTTCTGCCCAGATTTCTGGAGGAAGGAAACCTAGAAGCGGCAGCAGCAGAGAAGCAGAGAGTAGAGGAACTCCAGAGATCGCGGAGACGGTACATGGAAGAGAACAACCTCGAACATATACCAAGATTTTTTAAGTGAGTCAGTTCATTCCCATCGCAAGTTCCTGTTTTGCAAATGGTTGCCACAAGCAATGAGAAACTCTAGCTAAAAAGAAAATGAGGGGTAGTTTAGCATCCAGGGAACAAAAAGGTGGACAGATTCAACGGATTTCAGTGAATGTTTTTGGCATTGAAAATATTGAATCAGATTCTGCCCTTGTGAAAAGTTCTTGTAAGCATAAAAATCAATTTTTCTTACCAGCTCTTTTCTTTTCATGAGCATCAGAAAGCAGTAAGGGTCTTAACCCAGAACGCTCTTCGTCCTTCCTCCCCGCCTTCCAAATGGGGGAGCCTTGTTCCCACTCCCCAACCGGAGACGAGATGGGAGCCCAGAGCTTGTGTCCATGCAGATTTGGTCCCTGTGGGATGGGGGTAGTGGGGGCCTATTCCAGGACTGTATGTGGGGTTGTGTGTACATCACACAGGTTAAACCGTAGTTTCCAGAGCCAGGACAGAGCAGCTCAGAATAGCCTCACCTCCGGCACAGCTGCGGCCGCATGGCTGCCCTGGGGAGGAACGCAGCGCCACCCTCTCGATATCAAAAGTGTGCCCTTGGACACAGCCCTGCAGAGACTCTTAGAGCTCCTCAGTGCACACTTCCCCCAAGTGAGGCAGAGACCACGCGTGTGGGGCTGGGCCTGGAGCTCCTCGTGACAGCACAGAAGCTCCTTGTACACACTTTGAGGCAATGCACTTTCCAGCTCTACCTGAAGGTGATTTTTTTCTTGTCCTCGGTCCCTCTCCTCATGACCCTACACCCTCTTCCATTTCAAATGTTTAACAACAAAAATGAGTTCATTTCTGGTCAAAAACAATCAAGTCACCGATAAGCAGGGAGGGCACCACCTGGCTTACGAAGGGCTGTTTCCACACCTTGTCTCCCAGAGGGGGTCCGGCAGTCAGGTCACCTCGGTGCGATTTGTGTCTAATGTTGATTTTTCTATTTTCACAGGAAAGTGATTGATGCCAATCAAAGAGAAGCCTGGGTTTCTAATGACACCTACTGGGAGCTGCGAAAGGACCCTGGGTTTAGCAAAGTAGACAGCCCCGTTCTTTGGTAACCTGGGAGTGTAGAGCTAGCCAACATATCCCGCTCTGAATGAATAAGTAACTATGCACAATTATGTTTCTTAGAGCTCCGCGTGGTTTCTGGGTCGACTGAACACCGGCCGTTTGCTTTTCTATTCATCTTTATAACGGACGTTCAGAAGTGCATTAGACAAAGCCCCTGGCCACTTTTGGATCCTTTCTGTTTTGCTGCAACCATATTCCTTAAAACAAAAACATCTACACCCTCCTCGGAAAGTGGAATTAAAGGAGCAGAATATAAAATCCAAAGTCTGACGAGTTTATGAAGAAAAACAAGCCGTAACTGGTGCTTAAAGCTGATCCAGAGAGTTTAAAGCAACATGACGTAACCCACGCGTTGGGTCCTTTTTCCGGAAGCGCCATCCCCTCGTCATCGGAGCCCCTGGGTCGCGGCATCCGGCCAGCTCGGATCCAAGAGTGCCCGTTGGACGTGCCGGCCTTGTCCGTGAAGACGTGATGCTTCTCAGAGCCTGTTCCGCCCGCCCGCCATTGTTCATGCCTTAAGAAATGCAAAGATGTACAATAAATTGTTTTTTTAATGTGTGCTCATAGGTTTATGTGAAGGACAGGTCTTTTGAATCATGGCATGATTCACTTAGTGGGATCAGGTCAGTTAGGAGTCTAACTTAAATGGATTGAAAAGGCAGAGCGTGCTCTCCTCTGACACTTCGGTCACTGTATCTATCGTATGTCTGAGGGCAAGGAAGAAACAGTGCGCTGGGTAGATTTCTGTATCCACGTTGCTTGTCCAGATAATAAACCATGCCTCTTCCACCCAACCTCACGGTGTGCCCTAGTGTTTGTCAGTATCTGTATTTGATTGGAACACTTGGCGTCAGCGTTAAAACCTTGGAAGGAAGTAACAGAGCTGGTGGGCTTTCTGGGTGGGCTCAGGAGCACTTGTAAACGTAACCGTTCTTGAATGAAGCACAATGTAATACTCGTTACTGTCCTCTGCCCACCCTCTGGCACCAGTGGGAACCCCACTGGGAACGGAAGCAAGAATGTTAGTAGCTAGCAGCTTATTTGCGTTGCTTAAATGAGTTCTGTGCAAAATCATATTTTACATTTTCATCAAGTGATTCTGTTATGATAAATTACCATACATTAAGCATATACCTTGCTGTTTTCAAAGATGTGAAACTTAAGTAAGAAGTTTATACATTCCAACAAAAAGTGGGGAAGGGGAGCAGAAATGCGTTTCATGTACTTCAGGGTTTGTTTTTCCCTCCAATACACAGAGGCTTCTGTAGGTACTGCATTGGTATTCCTGAGTTTCTGCACATAGACGACTACCTAAGTAATTTACATTAAACAAATCTCTCCGGAGGTGAATTATAAAATTACATACATTTTATTCTTAGTTAGGTTTTTATTCTAGATCCTTACCATGAGGTTTGAAGTGTCATTTTAAACTCTGATAATGAGGTTACTGACATTTAACATTTTGTTAGGAGGTATTGACTTTAGTGTTATTTCTCAGCAAAGCCTTCCTAATAATGGCTAATCTGCTATCAAATCTACACCGTTCCTGATAACGTAAGGCAAACTCTGAAGTCTCTACTGGGTGGAGCAAAATTTTAGCTATCGTAAAACTCGTCCCTCTGATCTAGGGCGCTGCATTCTGCATGCAGTGTGCGGCAGTTCAGGGTGAAATTTCACTCTCAAGTACTCCATTGCCAGAGCTGCGTGTTCCATCAAAGCAACACCCTGTCTAGGTTTCTCGATGCCTTTTAATTCCCATTTTAAATCTATAGGTGGCTTGCCCCGTGGTAGTAAAGTTTTGCCCTAGTTGTTGATTGCTTTTCTGCTCATTCATCTTGACTCCCTTTTCTCTGCATTAGAATTCTATTAACTCCCTCATAAAATTCTGTTCTCCCCCAACTGATAAACCATTTAAAGTGGTGCTGGTTTCTAGTTACTAACACTTCCCTGAACAATCTCAAAATATTTCGCTGAAAGATAAGGAAAACATTTTGCAAAGCAGAGGTATTCTGGGTAGATAAATGGGAAAGTGAGGCATCGGTCACAATGAACCCGCCAGTCAGGCAGGTGGGAGAGGACCCAGGAGCCCTCAGGAAAGCAGCTACTGTTTGGGCTGTAACTGAGGAAAAGAATAACTAGCGGAGCGGACTTTTATTAGATAATCAGTTCAAGCTATGAAGTAGGTAAGTGAATATTGGTTGGCGCTCACCTGCAACTCTGCTTAGGATTTTAAAATGAGAATGAGGAGATCAAATGAATTAAAATCACACTTTATAATATCCCAGATTTAGGATCTCTTTTGAGATTCAGACTTCTTGACTAGACTTCCAATTCAAGTGACCAGTTGAACTTTAGGTAGTACGTGTGCTCCAACGATACCAGATTCACAGGGCTGCCCATCACAGACTCATAATGTTTTGGCTTCAATCCTTCATTTTACTTCTATTTTTTTTCTCTTTAAAATTTGTTTTATTTAATTGTTCAAGTACAGTTTTCTGTCTTTTACTCCCATCCCAGCTCACCCATCCATCCCTCCTCACCTTCCTCCCATTTCCACCCCCCCCGGTTTTTGTCCATCTGTCCTTTATACTCGTTCCTATAAACCCTTCCCCTTTTCCTCTGAAATTCCCTCCCCTCTCCCCTCTGGTCACTGTCCCCTTGTTCTCTATTTCAGTGTCTTTGTTTTTATTCTGCTTGCTTGTTTGCTTTGTTGTTTAGGTTCCTGTTAAAGGTGAGATCATATGGTATTTGTCTTTCACCACCTGGCTTATTTCACTCAGCATAATGCTTTCCAGTTCCATCCATGCTGTCGCAAAGGGTAGGAGCTCCTTTCTGCTGCTTTTTTTGATTGACAGGGTGGTTATAGAATTGTGAGACTTACTCTGTTTGGAATTTTCATCTGCAGGACTTTGGAGCCTTTGAGACTAAATCGAACAGTAAAAGGATAGAATAAGTGTTAGATCATTCTTGAGAAAACCTGATTTATTCTTTAGAATTTTACATAAGTCTCATTGCGGGGCCACTTTTCTTGGTTGTTTCTCCCTAAAACAATCTCGGGTAGAAGAGGACTTAGTAAATATTTGAACCTCCCCCATGATTTATTCATAAACTCCTTAAGTAGTAAGTGACGATGGTCCTATGGTGTGGCGGGACTGGACAGATTGATGGCTCATGCCACACGCATAGTAGACACTAATTATTTTGCTTCCATGTGCTGCCACCCAGGGTACAATTTACCGTCAGATTTTGCTGTTATTTTATTGTTTTTTTAATTAAGTTGTTACTTTTCATCAGTTACTTTAAAATACCCCATCATTTCCAGGCAATTGTAAAAGTAAACCTCATTTGAGATACCTTTTAATATTACATACTGATTACATGTGGCATAAAAACTACCAAGTGTATTTTCTAAATAAGAGAAACCAAGGGGTTTTTCAATACAAGAGATGCCCACTTGCCAGTTTCCGAAGCCCTCGTTCTTCATCATTCTGGCCCCTGACTCTCCGTGGCTCCCAGAGTGCTGGGGAGGCGGGGTAGAGAGGAACCTGGTCAGACTGGTCTTGCTTACTTCTGGTTACACCACCTGTGCTGGAGAAGAGTTTTTAATTAATCTAATGTTCATTTTGGTCTTCACCTTGTGGACTTTAATTATACATCTTGTCTACCCTTGTTCCCTGTCATCCTAGTTAATGACGTGTTCACGGGAGCAGAGCTCCTCACACACCAGGGGTGTGAAAATGTTTGCACTTGGCTCAAGTCGGTTTATCATGAATGTGGCACAGTAAATAAGAAGTTTGTGTACAAAATATTTATTTCTATGGGAGTCATGTTCAGGACATATAAAATGTATCTAATTAAACAATTATGAATCTACTTTGTGCTCTAGAAATGTTCTTTTCAGGGAAAGATGGAAAATTGTCATTGGAGCTAAGATTAAAGTGTTTTGTTTTAGGGTTCTTTTTTTGTTTGTTTTTGGTGTTTCAAAAAGCTTGCCAGTCACTTAGAATACTGCTTATCAAACTTAAATTCTCTAAATTTTAATTTAATTTTTTGGTAAAATCGATACATTTGAACTGTACATTGTATGAATTATTCTGTTAAACTTGACTTTAATACCTTATTGTAAGAACATACATTTGGACTGAATTTTAAGACCTCATTGAAGCCTTTTCTATTAGAGAAAATGGCAAATCGTTTAAGCAAGGGTTAACTTTAATTCTTCCAAAATAAGATGTAAAGAAAAATGAAGATTTTAAAAATTGCTGTAATGAAATAGAACACCCAGTATCTTAAACAAGGGATGAAAAAGCTCCCATCATTAAGGCAGCTTACAGGTGGCAGCTGCCTGTCCGTCAAATGCATCCTTCTGTTGTCCAAACAACTTCCTGAACTGGTTGATTTTCTCTTTTCCCCTGGTCCTGACTCCAGGAGAGGCAGGGACACACGTGTCTTTTGCTCTGCACGGTGCCATTGGGCATCTGCAACACATGCAGTAACTGTGCACAGTTTTATGGCGGTGTATCAGTATCAGAACCACTGCATTCAGCCACCCATGGAACACTGTTAAATGTTCACAGGTTAAAAATTGTCCATAACTGCAGATCAATTTACTGGTAACTCCAGATGGGTGGGGGAAAAAACAAGAAAGCATTTTTTTTGCAAATATTGTTATCGTGCTTGCCTTCTACATACATATAAATGAGGGCAATTGAGGAGGGAGGAATACGGAGTATTCAGAAAACAGATCTAATCCTCTTTGAGTTACCTGTTTCTTATTTTTAGTTAATGGGATAAGTAACAACTTAATACTGTTAAGGAGAGAATAATATTAAAACGATTCATTCTTTATCTTAGGCACCAACTCCCCTTCATTACCCTCATCCACTCATCCAGTTATTTGGGAAATAATGTGGTGGCTAGAAACCTTCTTAGTCATTTTGAGCTCATTTAAAAAACTCTATTGAAGTGGAACTGGCATGCAATAAGCTCGACATCCCTGAATTTGAGCGTGAGAGCCTGGGCTGCACACACTGTCCCTGTGCAGTTCCTCTGTCCTGCACCCCTCCCACCTCCACCCGGGGCAATCACTGACTTACTCTCTTCCTATTAAGTTTGTTGGGATGACATTGGTTAATAAGATCACATAGGTTTCGGGTGTACTTTTTCACTTTTTAAAAATCTACATTTCTTGTATTTACTGCATCGGGTTTTTCTAGAAGGCTGTGTGCAAATGGGGGGATGTGTGCCCCCAATCTCCTCCGCTGACACCCCAATACCCACCATCAAGTAGTAACACGTTACAAGGGAAAGAGGATGTTAGGTTTTAGTTCTGATAGCCCAGTATAAATTTTCGGTTTGAAATACTTAGAAAACAGTAAGTCTTTTCAAATCAAAATGGCCTTATAAGAATGAATTCATTCCTATCTTTTGGGGGGTCCAAAATAAAGGTAAAACAACTGGCTGGCAGCCCTGGGGGAGCCCTAGGAAATGTTCTGTTTGTGATGAAAGAATCGCTGACAAAACCGTGGGAATCCAGAATGGCTGCCCTGGGAATGACGTCACGCCGATGATGACGCGCGAACGGAACCTACACTGAGCTGTTTGCTATTAGCCTCCCAAGCCCCACTTCTGTGTCACAAACATTTCGAAACCGTGCTTGAGAAGGCTGCTTTCCCATCTCTTCTACGCCCTCACCTCCTATCTGGGAACAAAGTTACTAAACCTATTTTTGAAAAAGAAACGGAAACAAGTGCCCAGTGTCCATGAGCTTCCAGCCCGAGGCAGCGGTACAGGCTGAAAACTTAGTCCTTGCATCCTGCACCCTGTCAGACTCTGTTCCTCAAAAATAGAAAACTTTCCAGAGACTGCCAAATACATTGTGATTGACATTAAGTGCTAATGAAAAGAAGAGGCCAGAAGGAACAAAGAATGAAATGTGAGAGAGAAAAATAGCATCTCTGAGCAGGGCGAGCGTCATGCTCTTTGGCTGCCTGTGGATCGGCCCCAGGGGCCAAGTTACTGTCTTTGAAGCTTGTTTACAGGCAGATGGACTCCTCAACTTCACTCCAAAGACTGAGTCCTTAGATCTAGGGCATAGGCCAAGAATCTGCATTTTAAGAAGCACCCTGGGCCCCAGGGAATTTTGAGGCAGGAGTGTGCGCTGGTGGAACCACACACTTACACCCAAGTCCCTGCTCCAACCTCAGCCTTTTGTCTGTTTTTTTCTCAGTGATGTTCAGTAGTCAGTAAGGAAGTCTAGTACAAGAAGGTTGGCTAGAGCCCAAGGACTTGTGACTCCCTTGGCCATGCATGGCTTCTTCTCACTTTGCAACCTTTGTGTCCGCACCAGCTCTGTAGTATGGAGGTGAAGAGTAGGGAGCACAGAACTCTGAAACCTAAATGTGAGATTGTGTTAAGCCAGAGACCATAACAGTGTGTTCCTGGAGGCAATCTAACCAGCCCAGACAACTGAAGTCTACTCTTCAAGGCCATGATCAGTGTCTCCTGCCCCATTTCTCCTTAGACCTGGTCCATGTCTCAGAGAAAGGCTTCCAAATGAGCTGACGGGGTCCTGGCTGGTGGGTGCCTGCAAGGAAATTCCGTGGCAAAGCCCATTCTTCATCACTTGACTGATGATTTCCTAACAAGGTGGAACAGCAATTCTTTATTCAGGTCACTCTCTTCCCTGAAAATAATATATTTTTTAAATTTTTGTTTGAAAAACTTTCTCTGTGAAATTGCTCTGCTAAAGTTGAAGGTGTAAAGGCAAAGGCAGTAGTCAAGTACTGTTAGTTTGCATATGGTCGTATTGAGAGAGAAAAATTAACTTTTATCTTACATTTGGGATAGAATTTCAATCAAGTTTCTACTGAAAAGCAGCTTATAGTTAAATATCCTTATAATAAAAGAAAAATTATACACAGAAAAAAATTGTGTACCTGCGTCACCTCAAAATAAGAATTATGCCTCTTCAGTGAATGTTGTGTACAAGAGTATTACATTTGTAAGAGCACAGGACACTCAATAAACCTTAAATAAACTGAATAAAGGGTTCGTTTATTGTATATAGTTTGTTCTGGTGGGCTGTCCCCCAAATTAACGTTTTTATCTCTAGGAAGAGACTTTAAGCAGGCTATAAAGGAGACTGACTTCATTCTGACTTCATTTCCAACTCTTTTTTTTTTGTAGTAACTATGTAGAAACTGTTTTCAAATCACATACAGAACACAGGACCTTTTCCTGAATTTTGAACTTTACATTAAAAGACTTAAAAGCGGGCTTCGGTTTTCCATGTGTTTAAACTGTGAGGGTGAAGCTGTAGTTCATAAAGACTACAGGAAACTCAGGGTTCTCCAAGAGCTGTGTGCTGTCTGTCACCGGTGAAAGCAGTCCTGACAAAAGAAGGAAGTATATCCTGTTTTCAGTCTTCACATGCATTGGAAGTAGCCAATTTATCGGCCTTGGCCTCTAAGTCTCTAATTTCTTATAAAAAGTTTGAGGAAGAAATGTTTTGAGAAGCAGTTTCAAAGAAAGCAATACACCAAACTTTGAGTTACTAGAATCTCAAAATGCTTTTTAAAATAAACAAACAAAAACCTGACAGTCCCCCAATTTCAATCCTGCTGGAACGTATTGAACCATAGGCCACTGGACCGTTTAGTGGCCTGGTGCACTGCGGTGTGTTTACGGGGTGGTCATGGGGATGTGAGGATCTCGTAATTGCACCTCTGGGGGATGTGTTCCTAGGACCATACTGAGAAGCTTCAAAGTGGGGGGGGGGGAGCATATGAAGGCATCTTTTTTCCTGTGCCCTTTTCTGTGTACACGCCAGAAGTTCTTAGCCTAGAAGGAGGAAGAGGGGGAGAAAAGAGAGGGAGAGCAAGACTGCAAAAATAACTTGAGATGCCAAAGGAATACCCCTCCCCTTGCTGTATGTAAGAAAGTAACTGGAATGCAGATTGAAAATGAATAACAATGAAACTTTTATTTGCACGGTTTGTGATTATATAATCACCACTACCGTCAGTCAGTTTCTATTTATAATTATATAAAATCGTGCCAGAGAATTAACCTCTTACATGTGCACACAGCCCAAGCTACCTGATACTATTGCTGGTTTGCAGGTAGTGATTTCTTGGTTTAGTTTTTCCTTCCTGGGTACAAAATGTGGATGGCACACAGGGATAATCACAATCGAGTTTGTGACAATTCTTCTGCTCACCTGCTCAGAGAAAGCCATCAGGTGGCAAGGGCTGAGTACTGGCCGGGCACTGTGGAGGTCCGTGTGGCAGCCGCCAGGCCAATGGGAACAGCTGCTTGACTGGCGAGCCTGCCTTCTCCACACAGGCTCAACTGACGGGGCCGTTCTCTCCTTACATGGTAGCTCTGATGGGTCTTCTAAATTTGGAGGGGGAAAAAATGAAAATTACAGGACTAAATTCCTGCCAGGAAGCATTCAATTTCATAACGGGGTCATCCACGTAACAGGTACTCTAAGAAAAACAACAATGGTGACATTCAGAGTTCCCCAATTGCTCCTGAAATGGTCCACCATTTTTACAATTTACCCCAAAATAACTTAATGTTAACTACTTGGTATTTTAAACTACCCTTCAAACTCAGGTCATTATCTATAGAATTTTAGGCAGAGAAATATGAGAATAAGAATTTTTTCTTTCAAGGAAAATCAAACCACTCCACATTCAACCTTTCTTCTGGAAGGCTCTCCAGCCAAATGCTTAGTTCTTCACCGCATTCTCTCAAAATTTTCTATATGCTTTCACAATAACTTTTGGTTGTAAAAGCTTCTTATCTTCCTTAAAATTGTA